TATTTTAAGCCCCTCAGTTGGCAATGCTTTTCTGTGGCCAGCCCAGGTCACTAGTGCAATGACTACACAGCACAGTGAGGTCACATACCATTCATGTGATCATTTGTTCATTTATTCACTGAATTTTTGTGAATACCTAGTATGTGCTGGCACTGTGCTAAATTCAATTTTAAACAGGAGAGTGACACGATCAGTTTCAAATTTCAGCCAGGTTCTCTGGTGGCAACAGGGAAGGCGGATTGAAAGGAATCAGACTGGAGGGAGGGAGGCCTAAGAGGAGGTTATTCCTAATGGATTAAAAATAATGAGGACAGGGTCTGGAGGGCTGGAAGAGAGGATTGATGATTTAGGAGGTAGAGGTGCAGGACTACTGTCCAGAATGTAAGCTGAGAGTCATTTTTCAAATTAGATTGTTGTCAAGTGTCACCAATTGGGCTGAAGTTTATGATAGAAATTGAAGTTTTCCATCTCAGACAGAAGACGTTTCTCTGCCTTTTTCTTTACTTCCATCTGATCGGTTCTTCCCGCCAAGTGTGATGCACTGTTGTCCTCTGAATGATGGGGTTTATCGTCAGTGCTTGCCTTTCCATCTCCTTATTAGCCTTTGTGCTCACTGAGGTCAGGAGCTACGGGGTCCTGGTGACTTCACTCTCTACTGCTCAGTCAGGCTGTGTGGAAATAATGGAGCCTCTTAAATGTCAATGGCATAATTTATGGTCTTCGGTTCAGTGGGGTTGTTTCCCTTTCAGAAGCCCAAGGAGCATGTCTGCCCACCAAAGATTTTTCTCTGTTGATGGGGCAGCTGCCACCTCTGCAGGGACTTTGCCTGTCACCTTGAACCCTGTTATCCCAGACTTCAATGTTATCTGCTCAGCTTCTCATCCTGGCTAATTAGAGGCACCATTTAGAAGTTAACTTAATTGGAAAACTGCAAAGTAACTTAGATATGATAATATCTCCAACAGGGAAATATTAACTCATGTGTTACAAATATAACTTTGTAACAAGAGATACAGAATTGCAAATAAGGCTGTTGGTTTTTTACAGCACACAACCTTGTCTTTTTTATTTCTTAACCTTATGACTGTTTTATAGGCTCAACCATCCTGTAGGATAAGTGGTCTCAGGAAAGGGGAGCCACCTCCCCCCCACTTCCCAAAATTACTAAGATAATAAACTTTCCAGCCCCGCTACATGTGGTGTGATCTCTGGCCCAGGGGCAGGAACTCACAAAGCTTCAGTCACTTCTTTCATAATTCATGGAGAAAACAGTGGTGTCTGGGCAAGGCTTATAAGGCTTGATGCGTACACAGTGTAAACATAGGGCACACTGTGTGTGAGCTCCCTTCCTTTAGCTTGGGGGCCCATGTTCTACCTCCCTGCCAGTTTCTCTTGTGAGAATCTCTGACAGACCAGAGATCTGACTGTGGGTGACTCTATACCAGCCTCACCCTCCAGAAGAAATCCCACCTGCCATCTCTGGACGGCTACTGAGGCTGACTTGTGCAAATGGGCAACATGGGAAGAAGTCCAAGAGATTTCCAGTCAAACTGGGAAAGGGCCTGGCAGAAAAAGCTTCCAGGGAATGCCAATCATCTAATCTTCCTCCTGCCTCCCTCCCAGCAACCAGAACCTCTTCTCCCCAAATCTGCTGACAATTCTCCTCTTCCCTCCCTTCCTTCCCTGCCCACCATTTTCTCCTGGCCCTTGCCACAGCCCCACACAAAGCACACCTATATCCCTCCCATAATCCAGAGCTGTGTGTGTGGCGGACATACTGGGTGACGATCTGGGTCTTTGCCCAAGCTCTTCTCTCCAGTGGGACTGTCTTCCCCTCTTCTCCACTTGGCCAGCAACTACTCATCCTCTAGTGATTGGTCTAAGGGTGTCACATGACACAGTTCAACCAATAACTGGAAGGGGAGATCTGTTTAGGTCACTGTGGGGAAGATTTTCCTCCAGCATAATATGAGAAATGTCAGAAGAAAATGCCTCCTTTGTCCACACCTTGTCTTCCTGCTTTTGTGCATCACTGTGTGAGGACATGAGTTCTGGAGAGAAGGCAATTGTCTGTAGCCAAACCTCAAGAACCCAAGGCTGAGGAACCAACCCTCTGAGGACAGTGGTGTGGAAGGTGGCAATGGGTGCTAGTCAGGGAATGACCCAGTGAGTGCTGAAGTGACCAAGACCTGGACCTCCAGGTGGCTGGATGAGGGAGATAAATGCACACCTGGAGGGTTTCAGCGGATGATCCATTACCTGCAGCCAAAGTGTCTTCCCTTAGTCCATTCCATTGCTCATGACCAAACTTTGTCTCCTCACCCAAATTCAAGTATTGAAGCCCTAGCCTCCAGGACCTCAGAATGTGACCATATTTAGAAATTGGGGTCTTTTAAAGGGAGATGAAGCTAAAACAAGGCTATTAGGATGCACATTAATTCAATCTGGCCAGTCTCCTTATAAGAAGAAGAAATTTGGACATAGGGAGACACGAGACTTGCACACATAGACAAAACACCATGTAAGGATACAGCGAGCCCAGGAGAGAGGCCTCAGAAGAAACCAAACTTACCAACACCTTAACCTGGGTCTTTAAGCCTCCAGAAATATGAGAAGATGAATTTCTGTAGTTTAAGCCAGTAAATCTCTATACTTTTTTCTGGCAGCTTTAGTAAACCAGTTCAGGTATCTGTTGTTTATTGTCACCATTATTCTTAAAATTGTTTTAACTTACCATGTAATTGTCCCTAGTGCATGGTTAGGATCTAGATAAGACAGCTTCGTGCTCAGTGTTATAAATAATACAATGATAGAAACCCAACAATGACTTTCTTGGTGTCTATCCCCCATTGACCCATCTGCCCATTATTCACTTAATAAAAACCCAGCTAACAGCCACCATGCCTCCAAGCCATGTGGAATTGTCACAGAGTGCAAATTTTGAAGTTGAGCTCCTGGTTTTGCTTCCTAATTTGACCTCCTCCTTGCTGTGTGGGCTAGAGAAAGCTGGCTACCTTTGTTGAGTTCTCAGTCTCCAGAACAGTGCAGAGAACCCCTGTCTCAGGACCGGGTGAGGCCACAGCTTGCCGCTATGTGGAAGTCCTCCACAAAGAACTTGACTCATAGGAGTAGTCAATGGATAGTGGCTAATGTTTTTCTGAACTTACAGAGAGAGACAAGAAAGAGCAGGGCTGGCAGAGTGGCTCAAGTAGTAGAGCACCTGTCTAGCAAGAGTGAGGCCCTGACTTCAAACTCCAGGGCTGAGGGAAAAAAAAGAATGAGGAACGCGGTCATGTTTTTGCTTGTATAATTTTGTTATCATGCTCCCAGCAAGCCTTGTAACGCAGTTACTGCCATCCCTATCTTGCAAGGTGAAGTGAGGTTCTGAAAGGTCACGTGACAATAGCCACAGTTATCAAATCCCAGGTTGAGGTTTGAACCCAGGTCTTCTAATCATTAAGCCCTGAATTTTTTATTCCACCCTGGTGGTGTCAATGTTTTTCCTAAGCTCTTAGTGTATGCCACACATTCTTATTTAATCCTTACAAGGGTACAGCTTCCACAAGCTCAGAATAAATAACCCTGACATGGACACATGTGATGAGATCAGACCGCGGGATAACTGGCGGGTTTTCAAGCGACTTACTGGAAATGGAGGCAGGGGAACTGCCTTCTAAGAGAAGCAGGGAAAGGGTCATCATACACCTGTCTCGCTCGGCCACGCGCTTTTGCTAGGCCCTCGAGATCCTGATGTCACTTTACCCCACTCTGCAGTTAGGAGAAAGAGGTCGCAAGGAGGTAACAGCCCAGAGCTGGAACTCGAACTCTATCGTGACCTGGACCTCGCAGCCTCAGAATCGGGCTCCTTGCCGCCTGCCGTGCACATCAGAGTCGCCTGGAGACGGTTCTTAAAATACTGGCTGCTGGCTCCACTTGCAGAGATTCTGAGTTAGTGGGCCTGGAGTGCAGCCCAGAACTGGCACTTTTAACGCTCTCACCAGGTGACCGGAATAAGCAGCCAGAAGCACAGACATCCGGGAAGAAGTCTTGAACCACTGACCAGCTCCCAGCCCAGACCTCACCATCCTCACCCTTAGCTGGGCTGCAATAAAGGCCCTTTCTTTCTCTTCAAATCATTTTATGCTATTTAAAGTTTATTTTTAACTACTAAATATAAGCTTCAATATTGTGCATATGAACAGGCTACCATGTGATGCTTCAATATGTGAATATTATGTACTGTTGGAATCAGGGTAGCCATGGCTATTTCTCAGAGCAGTATGAGTTAGGAGTTCTTTAACTCATATCGAGTTTAATATGGATTATTTTAGACGATGATGTCACATCAAGGCATGACTATCAGAAATCCTAGAACTGAATACAGCCATCCTTTCCCTGTCTTCTAGGACAGGAAGTTGAACAGAAGTTTGATTTTTTACTATTCTTTAGTTCCTCAAAAGTCTTTGGTTCCCTGTCTATTTTTTAAATGGGTTCCTGGCACATTTCTATGTTCCCTTCTTCCAAAAGAAAAATAATGAACTAGTTCTTCTTGCATGTGATTTTTTGTGGGGGATATCAGGGCCTTCACTGAAAATAAAACCAAACAAAACCTCCCCATCTCTGCAAAAGGCAAAGATGTCCCCTGATCTGCAGCAGGCATTGGTACAACCTACCCATTCGAGGGTTCCCTAACTCATGGCACCTTGTTGGTCCTGGTCATAAAACAGCTCCAGCTCTCAGGAGGGATTATTTCAGGCAATCTAACTACACAGAATGCCCTGAATTTTTTCCACCAACTTAGAAATGTGCAATCCTCAGTTAAGCCAAAAGTGAAAGCAAAGAGAGTTAAATATTAGCCGGGACACATGGCTTGGGAATTGACCTTTGTCCAAATATAAACTGCACAGTGCAGCAACTTCCCTGTGTGTGCAGATACCCGACCCTTGGAGAGGGAAGGAGCAGAAGGAGACAGGACTCATGTCAGGACTGACCAGGATGTGAAGGAGCGGAGGGCAGGAAGGCAGGAAGGCAAGGTAACAGGAGCCAGGAGCAGCTCCTGTGAGCTCACAGGAGCGTTGGGTCACTTCTCTGTCAATATCACTCACTCTGCCACCAGCTCCATGGATATAATATTTGGCAGGAATAAGAAAGAACAGCTGGAGCCTGTGAGGGCCAATGTGACAGGTGAGCATCTTATATAAGCTACTGGCTCCTCTATGCTTAGATGGGTGTCTTTTTTCCTTATTGAAAAGTCTGGAAAACAGTAATAGGGACAAAATGATCCATAACCTAGATACATTCTCTGTGATGATTTAGGTGTGCTTTACACATCAGAACTCAGTTTCCAAGGAGAGTAGTTTTCACCATTTCCAGGAGTGTTGGCAAGGCTCCAGTGGCCACACGCAATGGGATTCTTCCTCAAAATACAGTTCATTCCAAATGCTTGGTGTTTTGCAAATGTCTGCATCCTAAATTAACTTCATCACGCCAGGAGAAGTGTGTGTGAGCACCGCTCATGCCATGCATGCGTGGAGAGCATTGCAGAGGCTGATGTGGTCGTTCCCAGGCACTCACAGGTGTGATTTCAGCATGCTGACACCTGCGGAGCCAATAGGGCTCCTCTTAGGCAGCAGGGGCTTGGTGTCTCCGCTTCTTCCTCAGTTATTTCACTTGTTGTCTCCTGTCTGGGTTGCCACTTTCCTGGGACCATCCATCTAGATTCTGAAGAACCATCCCTGGTTCTCAGATCTTGGGTTTTCAGTTCTGCAAACAGTGCCTGGGGCAGCTCCAGACACATGGCACTTTTGTCTGTCTATAGCTGGGCTGTGGACATTATCTATGAGGAGAGGATGATGAATGTCTGTGGCGAGAAAAGGCAGGTGGAACTTTTTAACCAAGGATTCACCTTAGAAGGTTTTTTTTTGCTGGGGAGAAGGGATAGTTTTTCCATGTAGTTTTCCTGATTACCAAGATAATAGTCACCCCATAAGTCCGTGTGTGCGTGTATGTATATTATGTACAATATTTGTAAGTACAAATTAGAGGGAACCAAAGAGCTGTATTTCCATCTCTTAAGCGCTATTAATACTTGAGTCTATTTCCCTTAAGTTTTTATAAAAGATAGATATAAATATTTTATATTGAGAAATATAAATAGGTATAAATATTATATTTGAAAATGTAAATCTTTTTGCAACAAACACATTTATGCTTACTATTAATTTATTTATAAGAAGAGAGCCTATGACGCCAACCCTTTGCGCTCTGGGATACCAGAACTTTTGGCCAGGCTGTCTTCCTTCTCTTTCCACTTCAAGCACAATGACTATGTGGAAATCTTTGGACTTCTTAGAAAATAAAAATCCTAGAACCTGAGCAGCTGAATGGACCCCAAAGATCCTCCAGAGCAGTCATTCCAAAAAGAGGGTCCTGTGACCTGCAGTGTCATGGTCACCTGGGCACTGAGTGGCAACATGAATTCTTTGCACCTCCCCACCAAAGCCCCCAGTTCAGACAGTGGGGTGGAGCTGGTTATACAGGTCTTCACAAGTCCTCTGGTGCTCCCAAGTGCAAATCCCTCTGTAGCTCAAGCCTCCTAACTTGACAGAGTGAAACTGAGGCATGAGAGCGGAAGTGACTTGCTCAAGTGACTTGTGCAGGTACCCAGCAGAGGCTAGTCTCTGACCCAGCCTTGAGCCCTGGTCAAGCACAATCAGTTTGCCATCTTCCATGGGCAGACAGCTAACTAGATCTTGTGCTGTTGTTGATGTGTCTGTCCAGGGTGGTCAGGCCGAGGCTCTGGCTTCATCCTAGCTGTGCATTAAAGCAGAAAGCAGCCATAAGGGAGCTTGGGTGGGACACAGCAGTTTTCCTCTGTTAGAACAGCACTCAAGTCAGATGAAACTTTTACATTTCAAAAAGTAAAAATAAACATAAAATTAGCTGTAATAGTATATATTTATATTGAATGATATATTTTATTTAATACAATATACCCCAAATTATCAGTTCAACATTAAATTAATATAAAAACTTGCAAATTCAATGCTAGGAATCTCTCTGTATAGCCACCCTTAACTCAACTAGCAAAAATGCTTTGTCTTTCTAAAAAAAAAAAAAAAAAAAAAAAACTTGCAAATGAGATGTTTTACTTTCAAGCTATGTCTTTTTTTTCTTACAGCACATCTCAATTCAGTTCAAGCTAGCATCACATCTCCTCTCTGCTCTCGGCCCACCCTGGGGAGGTTTTGTTCCACACAGTACCATTTGCTGGGCCTGTAGCATTACCTTTATTGCAGTGTATTTTGGGGGGGAGTGGTGTTAGGGTTTGAACTCGGGGCCTCATGCTTGCTAGGCAGGCACTCTACCACTTGAGCCACTTTGCCAACCCCGTATTGTGTTGAGTATTTTCGAGATAGGGTCTCGTAAATTATTTGCCTGGGGTGGCCTCAAACGGCAATCCTCCTGATCTCTGCCTTCCAAGTAGCCAGGATCACAGGCATGTTGCCGTGTATTTTTAGTGTCTGTTTTTCTGTCTCAATGGACAGTGAGAAACTTAAGAACAGGGACCACATTTCTTCTCTTCGGTATCTTCTGTGCTAGCAAAATGCCAGACTTCTTAGCACTTTCTGGAAAGGTCTGCATAGTAAATGAACAGAGGCATGAGCAGGGTTAGAGCTATATGACCTCAATTCCCTTCTGTTACCATTTTCTTGAGTCTTTTGGTTTGGCCATAGAAACTGGCAACTGAACACTCTTTTTTTAACAGGCAAGATTCCAAGATGGCTGCAGGGGACACTGCTTCGCAATGGGCCTGGGATGCACACAGTCGGGGAGAGCAAATACAACCATTGGTTTGATGGCCTGGCCTTACTTCACAGCTTCTCCATCAGAGATGGTGAGACCATGATGAGTTTGCTGCTGTAACAAGTATGACCACAAATTTCATGGCCTAAGACAACCCAGATTTATCCTCTTTTGATTCTGAAGGCCGGAAGTCAGAAATGGGCCTCACTGGGCTAACGTCAAGGTGTTGGTGGGGTTGCATTTCCTTCTGAAGGTCTCAGAGGAGAATCTTTTCCTGTATCTATCTTCTAGAAGCTGCCTGTTCTCCTTCACTTGTGGCTCCATTTCTGTCTTCAAAGCCAATAGCATAGCATGTTTCTCTCTCTCTTCTCTCTCTCTCTCTCTCTCTCTCTCTCTCTCTTCCTCTCTCCATTGTCACAACCCCTTCTCTGACTCTGACTCTCCTACCTCTCTCTTATAAGGACTTTTATAATAACATCAGGCCACCCAGATAATCCAGGATAGTCTCCTTCTCAAAATCTTTAGCCAAATCACACCTCTGAAGTCCCTTATGCTATGTCAGGTGGTTGATTCACAGGTTCCAGGGACTAGGACGTGGACATCTTGGGCAGGGCCTCATCCAACCCACCACAAACACAACCTCTCTGGAAAGGTGGCCACGGTTCTTTCTCAGTTCATCTGACAAAAGAATCTGTGTGAGACAGCACGAGCACATGGGCGATTACAGGCTGTGGACTCGGATATGCATGGATCAAATAGGAAGAGTCTAGAGCTGAAAAGAGCAAAACTGAACACAGTGCCCACCAGGCAGGGAGGAGCCAGGCCCCTGGTACCCAGTGGGCAGGGACGAGCCGGGCACTCAGCACCAAATGGAATTCGCCTCTCTGAGTGGAAACTGAGATGCCTGGGTGTCAGGCAGAGTGAGGAAGTACCACAGATAAGGCAGAATTTTGAGCTCAAGTATCTGCCTTTAAAGGGCACAGTAAATTCTTTCTTTTGGGCCCTCAAACTGGTTTATGTCACTCTGTGTCTCAAATGAGACAGATTGGTAAAGAAGTCCAGGTTGGGTCAAGGTCACAGAGAGGGCAAATCTGTGTCCAAGTGCTGCAGGCTTGGTGAGATTCTCTCTTAGTCCCTGCCTTTCAGAACAGGTGAGCTGTGGTCCCTCAACCTCAGTTTCCTCATCATCATTTCCTTGACAGCTGTCATAATAGTTAGAAGTTGTCATAGTCAGAAATGATAACGAGACCGTCTAGGAAGTGCCTGATCCTTGTAGGTGCTGAGATTAAAGTCACCCATCACCAAATTTAGGTTTGAATCCCAGTTCCCCTATCCTACCTAATATGCACTCAAACTGTGTGACCTTAGCCAAGTTACTGACCCTCTCTGTGTCTCTGTCTCCCCATCTGTGGAGAGATCAGTAGCATAATCCATGGGTTTGCAGATGGGTTTAAATGAATGAATATTTGTGAAGATCTCTGTACAGTGTCTGGCACATAGCACAAGCTCAGTAAGAGCTGGCCACTGTCACATCACTACAGAGTGATGGCATCCCCAAGCCTTTTATAAACAGAAGTTCCCAATAATTTGGGGTAAAATAAATGCTCTTCTAGATGAGGCTCAGGAAAGGCAAAGGACCAGTGGCTTCCTTTCCGCGGGGCCTGGTGCTCTTGACTGGCAGGTCCCCCGTGGTCTATTTCCAGGGCTCATGCTGACTCTGCATAGGTGCTCCTCTTGTGCTGTCTTATAAAGAGGAACACATAATTGAGGGAAGTTGAGTGAATTCTCCAAAATCATTGAGCTGTGGCGGGGATTTGAACCTGAGCCATCCTGAGGTAAAGTACGCAACTCTCCCACTGCCCTGGCCCAGAACACGCCAACACCAGAAATTACAGGAGCTTAAGGGGCTCCATTATATGCCTGGACCTAGAGGCACCCCCACACATCAGGGGACACAGTCATCAGGGGACAACTGAGCTAGATCATTGTCCTCAGGTCCATAATATGCCTGAGCAGGCTAAATGCACATGAGGAAACTCATTCCACCCTGTCTAGACTTTCTAAAAGGGTCCAGTAACTGTTCAAACTAAAAATTCACTGCACAAGGTGAGCAGCTTAGGTTGGTGGAGTGGCTCAAGTGGTAGAGTGCCTGTCTACCAACCTCTGAGTTCAAACCCCAGTACCCTCCCCCCGCAAAAAAAAAGAGCAGCCTGAAAGAATTCATTTTAACTAAAAAGAAGAGTGTGATAATGACACCCAACTCCTTGTCCTTCCTTCTTTCCCCTGCCCTGGGCAGGGAGGGGTCTGCAGTACACACCTGCTCTGCACAGCTCAGCACATGTGGGAGGCCCCAGAGTGCGGGACCCTGGTGAAATTTCTGTATCTTCATCACTGGGCAAGGCACCTGGCCCAGGGGCACTTGGAAAGTCTTCATGGAGCCAAGATGGTAGGACAAGGTAGACATTGCTTTGGTTTGAAAGAGGTGATGCTTTCCCAACCAAACTCTCCAATATTTGCTGCAGAGGAGTTTGCTGAAAACATCCTAAGGTTTTCTCACCCAGCTACTTCACTCTCTTGATGAAGATACTACTGTCTACTGATGAAGGTCTGGGGCCCAGAGAGACCAAGTAACTTACCCAAATGCACACAGCTAAGAAGTGGTGGAAGTCAGATTTAAATGCAGTGCTGTCCAAAATCAGAATCCCAAGTCCTAACCATTGTACAGTTCTGCTCTGTTTTTCCTGTCAGTCTCTCTCCATCTCTTCTCCCAAATCCTCTCAATGCTGCCAGATTGCCAACACGGGCATGGCACAGCCAGACCTCTCCTCTCCTCTAGAACTCTCAGTGGTTCCCCATTGTCTAACGGTGGGAATATAAACCAAAGATACTAAGTTCCACTGTGCCTAGTGCAGACGAGGGCATGCACAGGAAATCAGACTCTGATTTGCAGACACACATACACAGCAGCATTTCTCAAAAAGTGGTTTCTAAGCCTCCATCAGAATCCCAGAGGATCCTCACGGGGCTGTGAACACTGATGCCCAGTATCACCCAGGGCAGAACATCGATGTTTCCAGAACAATTCCCAACCACGCCTGAGCTCCCTAAGGCCAGAGAGCCCCTCTGCAGTGTATCCCAAGCCCAACTGTCCAGGCCCCAGGACCCAATGAATCAGCAGAGCCTCAGTGTTCTGTAATGTTTAAAAAGTGTCGGGCAATCCCAGAACTCAGGAGTCTGAGGCAGGAGAACTGCAAATTCAAAGCCAGCCTGGGCTACATCCATGACCCTGTCTTAAAGAAAAAAAAATCCTTCCTCCCGGGTACCTCCAGTGTGCACCCAGCATGGAGAATTTTCACTTTATGCCAAACCAGGAAGAAAAGATTTTGAGGCAAGAAATCAAAAAGATTGAAAAAATGGCTTGTAGCCTTCAGCAGAGACCAGAAATTAATACTTTAAATAGTAATAATAATAATAACGAAGATTGCAGTGGAACGGGGGAAGCTGGGTGCCGGGTATATACCAACACTCCTTTCTCTAAATCTAAATAAGGGGAAAGTCGTCCCACCAGGATTTGAGTATTGGGAAGTGTGTTTGTGTGTGTGTGTGCCTCTTCTGCTTCCCAAAATATCAAACTTGACCCAGTTCTTGCAGCCCCTGGGTGGGAGCACGTCTGTTTACAATGTCTCTTCAGAAGGAATGTGGCTAATTGGGGACTCCAGAGAGCTGGGGTGGGGAATGCTCAGTGGCTTCTTCTCTAATCTCAACCCCACAGTCCAGTGTCAGCTGTGAGCGATTCCAGAGACACATCTTCCGGGGCCCCCAGCACCCCAGGCTTCTGCAGCCGTGTGTTTATAGGAGACAGGAGGCCTGGGCTTCGAGTTTACATTTCAAGTAAAAAGAATCCAGTCTTTCAGGCCAAGCCCCCATGGGGCCCAATTGTGAATTGTGGGTGGTGACTCCTAGAGAGAGTGACCTGAGAAGGACAGGCTGGCCCTAGAGTGGACTGAGAACCCGTGTGTGTGGGCTCAGGGACCCCAGGCAAGCTTCCTGTCCCCAGGACTCCTGCACCATCATTTCAGCAGCCTCATGTGCTTGGGTACAGCCAGATGCCTCCTCTAAACTGCCCACCCTAGGAGGGGAGGACTCTGTGATCCCCAGCTTCGAGCTGAGGAAACTGAGGCTCGCTGAAATGAAGAGACCTGCCTGTAAGTACAGCTAGGACGGAGTCTTGACCCCCATCTGCAGCGTCTCAGCTCTGTAGGGCGCCTGCCTTCGGCACCTACTACATGCTGGGGGCCTTACCAGCCTTAAAATGGCATGCAGCTCTGTAAGGAATGAATCCTGATCTTCTCTTCACAGCAGCAGGGACCAAGGCTTGCGCCTGACCAAGGTCAAGCACACGACTGGCACGTGTCACACGCAGCCCTTGGGGAGGGATCGTAACTGCTCTGCTTATTATTGAGTCCCCACTTCGTGGACCCCTCAAGGTGTTTAATAAATCCTGTTTGGAAGCAGGAGCTCAGAGCCTGGTCAACCCCACGGTGCTCTGCCACTTGAGCCATGCCCCCAGCCAGTTTTGTCCAGGGTTGATCTCAGATTGTGATCCTCCTACCTACATAGCTGTGACCACAGGCACGAGCCACCACACCCAGTGTACTGACTGAGATGAAGTCTCACTAACTTTTTGCCTAGACTGGCCTTGAACCACAATCCTCTTGATCTCTACCTCCCAAGTAGCTGGGATTACAGGTGTGAGACACCATGCATGCCTGGCCAATGGAAGCACATTTCTAAAGGTATTATTTTAGTAGCAAGGATCAGATGGTATAGTCAAACAGACTCTGTTGCTGTGTCCAGTCTTGATTAAGAGATGCGGCTTTTGAATTGATGATTGCTCACTAGCTGTGTGACTTAAGACAAGACACCAGCCTCTGTGCCTCAGTTTTCTTAGTTGAGAAATGGATCTGCAGGGCCACAAGTATCCGAGTCCTTTGCACTTCATTTGGTAAGAAATTCGAAGCCTTTAAGTATTGTCTAGACCTTGTTTTATTTTGCTGTTAACCAGCAGTGTACATTATGTTAATATTTTTGTCTTCAGACCATGTTTCTAGTCGGAGTGTTCTTCCTGCTTTCAGTGCTTTATCAGTACCATGCAGTGTTCAGCACACCTAGTGCTCAATGGCGTTAGCTCCGAGGGCCAGCCTCCTTTTCTAAAAATATACACAGGAAGGAACTGAGTGAGAATTTCTTGGGAATGTGTCTTCTCCAACTCCATCGTTGTAGCAGTCAGTGTACAATGGGTGTTTCTGGAATCAATTCTGTTTACTAAATGAAATGTCACTATGTCCTGAGCTCTGCATCCCCCCCACTTCCTCTCTAAAGTTTTAAATTGCCCAGCAAATGAAGTTCAAAGGCCTGGCGCCAGTGCAGCCTAGTAATCCAGTACCCCTGCATCCTAACCCACCCCAGCCTCCTCTGGTTCCCACTGCTCTGCATTCTCCCACCGCCAGGCCATTGTTTCCAGACTTCCTGGGAGGGTGAACTGGACCCCTGCCCCGTCTCCTACCCCAGCTTCCCAATCTATTTGCAGTGGAATTCTACCCATTCTTTAAGGGATAGTTCAAGTGTCACCTCCACCAGGGAGCCTCTCCTGACTCCACCCCCTGCTGGGAAGGATTCTGTCTCTTTCCCTCCCATTTCTCCCTTTTCTCCCTGGGAAGAATCTGTTACTCTACATGGTAAAAGAGACTTTGCAAGTGTGATTAGGTTAAGACTCTTGAGATGGGGAGAACACCCTGGGTTATCCAGTGGACCGAATGGAATCACAGCAGTCTTTAGTAGAGGGAGGTAGAAGAGCCCAAGTCACAGGAGTTTTGATGACAGAAGCAGAAGTCAGAGAGATGCAGCCACAAGCCAAGGAGTGTGAGCAGCTCTAGAAGCTAAAAGCAGCAAGGAATGGATTCCCCTCAGAGCCTCCAGCAGGAACTAACTCCACCAACACCTTGACTTTAGCACTAGAACAGCCATTTCAGATGGTATCTTCCCAAACTGTAAGAAAACAAGTGTCTTGTTTTAAACCACGAAGATTCTGGCAACTTATTAGAGCAGCCATAGGAAACCAATATACTCTAGAACCATCTGGTGTATTGTCAGGTTGATCATGATGCTTGTATTGGATGAGTTAGAGCTGCTCCAGGGTGTGGCTGAATTAGGTAACGGGCACAGTTCTGACCCTCATTTGGAATACAGGGTTGACAGTTGGGTCATCTGGTTGTCGTAGATATCAAGTGAAGGTGAGGGTGCCCAGCACTGAAGGGGGCCAGAGGGAACATGCAGCCTTCCAGGTCAGTCCTCCAGGTGTGCCCCTTCCCTGGTGGGATGCAAACATGGTGGAAGGGATTGCCATTGGCCAGGCAATGCCAGGCCAGATGACTATTTCTAAGCCTCAGTTAACTCACATGGAAACAGAGCTCAGTCAGGCCTATCTACCGTGCCGTATTGCCGTGAGTCTCAAGGGAGAGGATGTGTGTGAGATCATGCTTCAAATGCTTGCTGTATCAGGCGCTCGCATCCTGGTGAGCTAACCCACCTCTGATCCCAGGAAAACCCTTAGAATGGCTGACAGTGATTTTAAAACTCTGGAAAAGTGCCAGCCAGAGACGAACCTGCCTTTTCTCTTTCAGGTGAGGTCTATTATAGGAGCAAATACCTCAGGAGTGACACCTACAATGCCAACATTGAAGCGAACAGGATCGTGGTGTCAGAGTTTGGAACGATGGCCTACCCGGACCCCTGCAAAAACATCTTTGCCAAGTAACTGCCCACACTGAATCTGACTGAGTCTTGGGCACTTTGACATCCTCGATGTCAAACAGCCACCTTAGCTCCTGTGGCCATTGTCTTCGGTGTGGATAAAAACTCTGACAGGCCTGTGACCATAGACAACATGTGATTCTCAATCGCTGATAGTGGCAGACGTTAAGAGTATTTGGCAAATTAATAGACACTTCCTCATGGTGGTGGAGGAGGAGTTTGCAATTATCCATTGAAATGACAAATGTACATTCCCTCTGGTCCAGAGATATACTCGTTCATGTCAGAAATAACAAATGTACAAAGTGATCCCCAGCTGTGTCATTTGTCATAACAAGAAACTGAAATGGTCACCAACAGAGGAGTGATCAAATAAATAAGAGTAAAACTGAACAAGAAAATGTCATGCTGAAAAAGCGAGGCAGCCCTTGCTTAGCAAGTGTGAGGCCCTGCAATCAATCCTCAGTACTGCAAAATAATAAAAGTAAAAAACTAAGAAAAGTAAATAAAAGGAATTAGGATGCTCTCTGGGTGCTGTATGGAAAGACATTTTGTTAAGTGAAAAAGGAAAACTCTACCCAGCGCCCCAAAAAAGAAGTAAAAAACCCAAAGAACACATAACATGCTGTAGTCAGTGTTTAAAAAACAGGAAGAAATATACTTTTGCTTGTCCAGGCATTAAGAAATCTTCACACATAGGTAAGGGAGGTGGAAACTGACAAATGATGACAAGGTGTGCTCATTTTAAGTCATCTGGATTATGACACGCATACATATCACATGGTCAGCAATTAAATGCTTGGCCGGATATCAGGCCTGTTGTCAGTATCTTCTTTTTTCCCTTATTTTTTCCCTACTACTGGGGTTGAACTTAGGGTTAGGCCAATTGAGCCATTACCCCAGCTCTTTTTTGTTTGTTTGTTTTCAGATAAAGGCCTCCCGATTTTTGCCCAGGGCCAACCTCAGATCGAGACTCTACCTATGCCTCCTGCATAACTGGGATTACAGGCATGGGCCACCACACCCAGCTTTTTTGTCGAAATGGAGTCTCCCTAACATTTTCCCTGGGCTGGCCTTGAACCACCGAAATCTCTGTCTCCAGAGTAGCTGATATATATGCCTGGCATAGTGTTTCTTTTCTGATCCTCTTCAGATCTGGGAGGAGGTATGAAAGGGTTCAGGGTATACTGGCCAAAGATAAAAGATTGCTTCTTTTCCAGAGCTGACATCGTCTCTCCCTGGCACAGGGCAAACACTGAACCTGCATTCGCAGGAAGGGCGGAGCCAGGAAAGGAAAAGGAAAGAATTTAAAACTGCAACCTGCAGAGTATCCTTGCAGTTACACCTTCTGCCAGTAGGGGGAGCACTACTCACTACCTGGATTCAGTATTTGGCAATTGCACCAATAAACCCCTTCCGTTTCCTTTCTTCCTGCTTTGAGTTTGCCTTCTGATCAAACGAACATGAGTTCTTAATACTAATTTGTTTTCCTTTTTAAAAAACAACTAATTCCCTGGACAAATATAAGATAACCTTTATGGACTCACATTCCCATCAAAGCAGGGATTAGCTGTTTTGCTTGGCTTTGGGGCTGTTATGGGTGTGTGTATGATATCTGTAGAGCTATTGGAAATACTTGGAACAACCCACCGGCTCTCTCTGGCTCTGGTAGTGAAGACCTTTGGGTTTTTAGAGTCATGAGGGATGTATTGGCAGTTATGTTTTCCCTGTGACTCAATTCTCTGCTGACTGCACATGATGGTATCTTTGGGGAGCCTGATATGAGTCCTCCAGATTGAGAACCTGGTCCTTTATCTCCTGAGGTTGAAGTGATATGTTTTAAATGCTAGGAAACAAAGCCATCTAGGGCAGAGCTTGCAACTGGATGGAGAGTCATTGACCCTGACTTGTTTTTCTCCTAGAGCTTTCTCCTACTTGTCCCACACCATCCCTGACTTCACAGACAACTGCCTCATCAACATCATGAAGTGTGGAGAAGACTTCTATGCAACCACAGAGACCAATTATATCCGGAAAATCAACCCACAGACCCTGGAGACCCTGGAAAAGGTATTGCAAACCTCCAGTCAGCATCCATTCCTGACCCAAGAAAGGAACCCACGGGGAAGTCTAGTTGCCCACAAGATGCTCACTGGATAGGCTCCTTCTCTGATGGCATTCGATCCTTGGCTGCCCCTAGCTCCACACTTAGTACGAAATTCTAAGCTCCTTGTGGGCAGGATTGATTATTCTCATCTTGTGCCACACAACCATGCATAAACAGTGGTGGTCCCGAGGATTACATCATTTTGTAAAATTGTGTTAATGGTGCAGTTTGTGATCAGAAGATCCTGGTTCTTGTGCTCTGAAGGGAAAGATCCAAGCATACAGAGCACATGCATGGGGTGAGGTAGGATAACCTTATTAAGAAAAGAGGAGTCACCTGTTCTTCCAGGTGAGGAAAGGAAAGAAGCAGCAGAGGACACAGTGGGTGCAGGTGGAGTCAGCCGGCAGAGAGCGTGCTTTTCTTTTTCAGGTGCCTTTAAAACCTATGCTACCCCATGGGAGGGCAGGCTCAGGAGGTTCCCACCCAATAATGAGCAAGTGGGGAGGGGCACAGGCGGTTCCCAGCCAGGTGAGGGTGGTCTGGCCCATCCCCAGGCAACCTTCATGAGCCCCAAACTTTTCCTACTTCTAGCCTACCTCAAACTCCCCCTGAGAGACAATATTCCACAAAAAAAAAAAAATCTTTTTTGGGGACGTTGCTGAAGGGGGACAATCTATCTTCAGTATCTGCTTCAAGCTGACAAGGGACAGCAGACCCAACTTATAAAGGGAAATTGTCTCTCCTGTTTCTTTCCCTTGGGGCTCATTTGGACACAGGTGTCTGAATTATTGTCTGGCATCATTAAGGTTGCTCATGGAGCTCTCATTCGTTTGTAAACCCGGATAGCCTTGTTGCCTCATGATTTGGGTCTTAAAGGCTTTTATTGTGGAAGAGATAATCTGATTTAGAAGGCATGACCTGACCATTTCACACTGATAGGAGCATCAGAAGGGAGCCCTGCCAGTTGTGGCAGGAAGGACAAAGTAATTTTGAAAAGTGACAGGTAGTTTTATGTTTCTTTACCTATAGGTGTTTATACCTGTAGCTATTTTTAACTCTTAGATGGCCCTGTAATTTGGACTGTAGTTAAAGACTGGCTACATTAGGGGCCAGGTGTACCAGGAACCAGGTGTTAAACCAATTAGAGAGTAAACATCAATGAGTCAGTTCTGTACAGAAAGAAAGCTCACAATGTCCCTAAGCAGAAGTCAGACACCATTGAAAGTTACATTGCCTTTGTTTAAATAGAAGGCCTTGGCCAAAGACATGCCTTTTGCTGAAAGCCCAAAAGACTTAAATATTGGAGCACGTGCATAAGAGCCCCTTTTTAAAATAACTGCCTCCATCTGGATTTGGTGAAGTTCCCTCATTTGTGCAGTCCTTTTGAACTGTCTTGGGTGGCTGACCACTCAGGGGTTACATCCTCTTAAACTGTTTCTCTAAACAGTCAACTCTGAAGATTTTGCCAATTTGACAGTTCTGGTCCCTCGGTGCAGAAGTGCTCCCCTGGAAAGTCCAGAAAGTCAGATTGTGTCCCACGTAGGAGGGAGATTTGAATAGATCAGAGGTCGGTGCCAATTCGACCTTTTTGGCCAAATTAAGCAACAAAGAGATTTTTTTTTTTTAAAAAGTGGCTCTTAGGCTGGGCTTGATGAATCTAATTGCTTGTCCCATAGGGAATGTGTAGGTAACAGTTACACAGTTTTACAAGGAAAATATGAAACTACACCAATACTTAAGAATGTCTATCCTGGTTGATAGATAAGCACTTGTCAGAGTCACTTTTATGGACTTGCCTTTGAGTGTCCTTGAAGGATCAGGATTGTAATAACAAAACTCAAAGTAACCATGGTTAACTGCAATTTAAACCTTGAATTTTGGTTAGGTAAAGTAACAAGTTGGTGATTGTAGTACTGTCAATACAGTGCAGACAGTTAAAAACCCTAAATTTTTCAATGGTTAAGGGAAGGCAGTGTTAATAATTTCAAGTAGCCCCTGTTTTGATATTCAATTATATATTATATATACAATAGTGTTTATTTAGTCAATGTCAGATAAACCAATGTTCATCTGATGAACAGACATCAGGTAAACCAATGTTTAGCTGACAAACAGATGTCAGACCTAAATGCTAGAACTTTTAGCATTTGTCATAAAGAGCAGAAATGTCAAAGACCTTATTAGAAGGTACCTTAGATAAAAGAACTATAGCTGCTTACATGTATACACTTTTAACTCTATAAATGATTTTATGACATTTAGATACATGTATAAGACACTAGGAGTATTAGAACCATTTAAGGAATTTTTACTTGGTTTAAACTTAGTTTCTTAGTGTTATTGTAAAAATACCTTAGGTTTCTGTGTCTGGCATGAGATGAATTTAAGCAGGATGTAAAGAATAGTAAATGATCTTAAATGGACTATGAAAAGAACTAGGCATCTTATTTTGGTTAAGCAGGATCAAAGCATGTCCCAACACTTAAGGACACATCCAAGGGAATATGTTGGGTTTCCCTATGCTGGCTGGTGGAAAGAAGGAGAAGGAAAGGAGAGGGGGAGAATCCATTCACCCCTCCACCCCTGCACAAGGGCTCCTGAATGGAATTTCCTGCGCTGGCTGGTGACTGAGAGAGAGGAAAGGGGAGGTGGACAGTTGCCTTTTGGAGAGAGAAAAATGACAACTTTCTAGATTCTCAAAGTGTCCTTCCTGAACCTTCTGAAAGCCTCAGCACAGGTCCCTTCAACCTGTTAGCATCACACCTCTGTTTAGCAAGTGAATGGCAGGGTACCCTGGTTTCTGAGTCAACTGTTCTCCTAAGGGCCACCTCATCCACCCCAGCACAAGGATGTTGATGGGATGTTGATCCTGAATGTTGACCCAGCTATTAAAACACCAGAGCTATTATGACCAGTACAGAATCCAAATTGTAGCAAAGTAAGCCTGGCTGGTAGAAACCCATTGCTTGTGGTCAGTTTTCATATCTGAAATGGGAGAACATGTATAATTTTTTAATAATAAGCCAATTAAGATTAATGTCTCAAATAATTAGATACAGAAACAAGATAAGGGGTTAAGCATATTTACCATACCTGGAGGGTGAGTTTTTGTTTGGTTTGGGTAAAATTTTGTATTCATCTACAGCACCCAAAAGATCTTGATTGGTATTTTGATAAAACAGAGACTCATTTTTAAATACATATTGGTTCCTTAAATTTTAACCTTAGAAAACTTTTAGTCAAATTTTAAATTATAAACTTTTAAGTTTTAAGACCTTAATTCGTATATTGAAATAAACTTTGTAAAAACCTGAATTTAGATAACACTTTTTTAAATAAATAGTGCTCTTAGTAACCTTGTAACTTAAAAGACTTAGGAAGAAAATTAAATTAAACCATCTTTTAATAATTGCATTTTATGAGGACACATGGGTATTAAACCTAATTATAAAAGAGAAATGTAAATTACACTCATGGTAGAATAAAACAGATTGAGATTACTGTTTATAAAATTTTCTTTAGTCCTAAGGCAGAGAATAATTAGGCCTGATTGGGGTTAGAACTTTAGATAACCTTTGAGACAGTTGTGCACATTAACTTTAGAAAAGTAGCTTAAGAACCATCCTAAAGACACCTAAACACACACAGACACATAGATGTTGCAAGCTAGACATGCCAAAGAATATAAACGTGCGTAATGTTTTCAGGAAAGTAAAAGTTAAGTGGCCACAACTGATAGGCGACAAAGACATACAGAAAATACACACAAGGACACACAAAACAATCACATGAAGAGTGCACTCTTAAACCATTTCTTTGTCATTATTTTTAGATTAGTCAGCTAGATTCCTAAGTAGTTTACAACCAATCTTTAACATAAGTTCTCTTATGTTAAAATTTATGTTATGAGTGCAGTAAAAACATGTACGAAAATCATATTAATCTAGGGAATTTTAACCACAAGGTAGTTATCATTTTCCTAGACTAAGGCAAGATGGCATCACCCATGAGTTTCCTATCCCTAGGGAGTGTCAGGATGGCTCTGGACATGGCAGCTCCTTTATGGTGGCACTTCCTGTGACCATAGGGTCTCGCCAAAGGGTCTCTCAAATGGAACACAAAGACATGGTACATGTACAGGCTCAAAACAGCAGTCTGTTATAGGAATAAAGACATCTCCCCCGAGAGACAGGTGTCCATGAGTTAGGCGTGCTAATGAAAAGACCAGATTAAATCGAAGCAAGCTGAGGTGGGATTTAAAAGCTTTTGTTAGTGTCCAGTTTACTACAGGTGTTTATAATTAGATCCTGGATTTTCTTATAAATGGGGTTTGTTATTACCTAGAAAGCCAAAAATTCAAACCCTGTAGAAGCCAGCCAATTACAGAGCTACAGTTTGGAAAGGACCTTAAACAAGTTTAGAATTTGGCATACTACTTTGAGCTATGGAGAAGAAAATTTTATTAATTTTAAAACAAAATGATTGTTAAGAATAAAACCTCTAATTAAATTGTCTATTTAAAATGTTCACATATAAAAACCCATTTTCTTTAACCTCTTGACTGTAAGCCTAATTTTATCAGCAGAGAAAGTTAAGGTGAGAATGTTTTTAAAGACTTATTGTATATAGCATTTTAGAATAATAATTATGATGGACAGCATTAATTAGCATTATATTTTGGTGTAAAAAGATAACATTGTATTAATAAATTTTTCTTTTTATTTTTGCTTTTACTCTAGAGTAGCTGAATTTTAAATAACTTACAATGTTTTTATTATAGATATACTTTATGGGTGACCAACGTTAAATCCTTAAATGGAACTGTTCCTAATTTTAGAAAACATGATTTAAAGAGTTTAAATGTGTTTAACATTTAAGGACAGCAATAATTAACACCACAGCTACACAGATGCAACCTATATGTTAACTCAGATTTTATCTTTGAATGGAATTGAGAATTTTTGGCTAAGATAGACAGGTAGGCAGGTAAGAGAGTGGGTCAGAGAAAGAAGACAGAGAAAGTTGCAGATAGGGAGAAGGCAGTTTGGTTAGGCATGGGACCTTGGTCACTAGAAGTGGTACCTCATCCACCTTGTCCCTGATGTCCTGAGCTCCCCTGGCTTCCCCACCAGCAGTGGAGCTGCCCTGACTTTGCATTTCCTCTCTCAGCCAGCTCAGGCAGTGGGAGCCTCTCAGCTGGAGGCTGCTGGACAGAGGCTGCCAGCCCATGCAGGGCCCAAGCATACGTGCAGGTTGCTCTGTGGCTGGCTAGGCAGGGCTTCCAGCCCACGCTGAGAAGCTGGGCAGGGTCTGTGCAGCAGGTAGATCCAAGGGGAGGGACTGGAGGGTCGCACTCTACAGCCACAGCCTGGAGACCTTGCCAAATGGTGCTGGTCGTCAGGTGGTGGTGGGGGGGGTGGCTCTGTGCCAGCTGCAGTAGGCGTTTTGGGGGGTCCTGAGTCGGAGGCAGCCCACTCCAGCCCTCCAGAGGCAGGACTTCTGTCCACCTCAAGGCAGCGGATGGAGAAAAAGTCACAAGTGACTGTCCATGCGGCTCTCAACTGGCCATCTAGGAAGCCATGGGCTGACCTCAGGAACCGCGGGTATGGTTACCTTGAGTGGCCAGCAGGGAAGCCACACAGCTGAGCCACGCTGCATGTACCCCCCAAGGGGTGTCCCAGGAAGCCCTGTGTGCATGGCTGTCCCTAGGCGCCAGCAGTGGCTGGGAGGGACGCTGTGCTCGGGATGGGGCAGCAAGGCTCTGATCCCTTTCCCGCTATTGGGTTTCCTGACAGGTGTAAAACCTGTAGTTTTATGTCCCCTCCACGGCGGGGGGGGGTGACTGCAAGGGGCATGCAAGCCTCCCACCCCACAGGTAGCAGTTTGTTCCCTGTCCACACGGCTCCCTCCTCCATTTTTTGAGCGGCCATGCTTTCCCAGGGCAGGCTTTTTTTTTTTCCCTTAAAAAAAAAACCTGTCACCTCATGGACTGATGGAGGCGTGCCTCCCATTTATTGTTTTAAAACCGCCACTTAGGGGGAGAAAGAAAAGAATAGAAAGATGGAAGGAGGCACAGCCCAGACCAAACGGGGCGGGGCGGGGCGGGTGCATTTCTAATTTGTAAACCCACCATGTGGTGGGTTAGGGACCTTGCAGTCTTGGAGTAGGATCTCCCACACCACAGGGAAGTAAAGGACAGGGGGAGGAGATTAAGGGTTAGGGAAGGAGGGTTGGGGAAGGGGCAGCTAGCTTTTAATGTGATCAGCCCCAGGAGATGGACCCTGTGCCTTGGGGCGCTGGCGGGAGCTCCTGAGTCCTGTCAATCAGGGTGCAGTCTGTCTACACTGGGATTCCAAACGAGCCCTGAGTATTGGGTGAATGACCTAGCGTGAGGGTCCCCTACCACCCAAGCCGAGGTGGTGTTTGGTTCTGAAGCATTGGCGGTGAGGTGTGGCGCCAGAGAACAGAGAAAGATGGGTTAAAATCAAGATTTGCAAAGATAGCATTTTGGGATCTCACTGATCAGTTTCTCCTGGCCAGCTCCCCACAAATGTTAATGGCACTGGTGCTTTCTGTGACCAGAAGATCCTGGTTTTTGTGCCCCAAATGGAAAAATCCAAGCAGACCACATGCATGGGGTGAGGTAGGATAACCTTATTGAGAAAAGGGGAGTCACCCATTCTTCCAGGTGAGGAAAGGGAAGAAGAAGCAGAGGACACAGTGGGTGCAGGTGGAGTCAGCCGGCAGAGAGCGTGCTTTTCTTTTTCAGGTGCCTTTAAAACCTATGCTACCCCATGGGAGGGCAGGCTCAAGAGGTTCCCACCCAATAATGAGTGAGTGGGGAGGGGCACAGGCGGTTCCCAGCCAGGTGAGGGTGGTCTGGTCCATCCCCAGGCAACCTTCATGAGCCCCAAACTCTTCCTACTTCTAGCCTGCCTCAATTGTAGCGATCTTAGTTTGTGTATGTCCACTCTATGATGTTTACACAATGACAAATTCTCCCAGAACCTGTCCCCATCATTAAGTGATGCGTGACTGTCCCATTATCTACTGTCTCACAGTTATGGAGGACAGAGTTTAAAATCAAGATGTTTGCAGGGCCAGACCCTCTTTGAAGGCTTTAGGGGAGAGTCCTTCCTTGTCTCCTCCAGATCCCTCCAGTTGCCAGCAATCCTTAGTGTTCCTCAGCTTGTAGACATATTGCTCCAATCTCTGCCTACATTGTCATATGGCATTCTCCTTGTGAGTCTGTGTGTTCAAATTCCCACCTTTCATAAACGCACATGAGTCATTGGATTGGACCCCACTCTCGGGCAGTGTGACCTCATCCTAACTTGACAATATGTACAACTTGATTGGTGTCTCTGTTGCCAAATTAGGTCACATTCACAAATACCAGGGGTTAGGACTTCCGCCTGTCCTTTTGGAAGACAGCTCAACTAATAATCAAGTCCATAGTTCTTGGGACAGAGGGGTTCTACCTGTAATGACCTGCAGAGGGAGACATTAAGCAGAGAGCAAGGGCACAAACAAATGTCCTGGGAAGAACCAAGTCAATGTTCTTGTGAAAATCAATAGAGTCAGTTTCAAAGCCACAATGTCTTTGCAAGGCATTTGAAAAGTCTACTGAAGGGAGTGCTTTTCTTATCTGGGAAATGATGTCCACCTCCAACCAAGGCCTGCTTTCCACAAACAAGGAAACACCAGGTGGGAAGGGGCCCTGCCCAACTCTTGCCTGGTGGCTGTGCTCTGCTAGGGGAGGAAAGGCGGACAGTTGGTCTCCTGTTGCCCATTGTTCTATCATTGTGGCCTGTTCAGATCAGGGGTCACTATTCAGCTTGTTAGTGGAGTTTTGCTTTGACCAAATGGCTTTGTAACTAGGCTAACACTATGGGAGGCCTGGAGAGCTGTGGCTCTGTGCAGTACAAAAGGGAGCATTTAAATGACTTAACCAGAATGACATGGAGCAGAGGCAGAGACTAGGTGGAAGGCCAGGTCTTTGCTCAGAGGCTTCATCCTGTCTCCATGCTGAGGACACCAACAGGGCCACGATAGGAACAGCAGCCACAAAAAGCACACAGGCTCACTAATTCTTCTGCAACCTATTTGTATAAAAGCCCCTCCCAATTCCAAGTTACATCAGGTAACCAGAGTAGATATTTTCTTATTTTCCAATCAGGAGATGTGTGAAAATATCCATTATCTCTCTAGACCTAGATTCAGTCAGGTATTCATGGGATTTCACCCTTCCCCCCTTTTAAAACCAGGTGACTGTAGGCCAGACATGGAGGTTCATGCCTATAATACTAGCTTCTGGGGAGGCAAAGACTGGGAGAGTAGCGGTTCAAGACCAGCCTGTGCAGACCCCATCTCAACCAACAAACCAGGCTTCGTAATCATTCCTGTCATCCAGCTGCATAGGAAGCCATAGGTAGGTGGATCATGGTCTGAATGTGGCCCGGGTCAAAAAACAAACAAACAAACAACAATGAAAAAACAAGACCTTCCTGAAAAATAAATAAAGCAAAAAAGGCTAAGGCAGAGCTTAGGTGGTAGAGCACCTGCCTAGCAAGCACAGGGTTCTGAGTTCAAACTCTAGTACCACCAAAATAATAATAATAATAATACGCGGTGCCTGTCATACTTTGCAGGTTGATTATCGTAAATATGTGGCTGTCAACCTGGCAACAGCACACCCTCACTATGACGAGGCTGGAAATGTTCTTAACGTGGGCACATCCATCGTGGACAAGGGGAAGACAAAATATGTGATATTTAAGATCCCTGCCGTGGTGCCAGGTAGGTGACTCTGGGGACTGTAATGAGCACAGGAGCCAAGAGTGGCTCCTGCTAAAGAGCCCTGAGTTTTGTTGATAACAACATGCTTTCCCCCCACTTGTCCCTGAGGGGGAAGAGGGTGAGGCTGCTAGCCCTTGTTTGTCCAGGATGGGAACACACCCCAGGAGATGAAGCCTCCAAGGGCAGCTGCACAGGCTGTTAGTTCAGTCTTCTGCTTCAGGAGAAAAGAGAAGCATCTAGGATTCCTTTTGGCTGAAAGGAATCCCTTCATGATTTAACTGCTTTTCTTTAGCCTCCAGTTTGTTAATTCATTATTTTGTCTAGCCATCCGTCCACCCAATTATCCATCTACCATCTATCTATCCATACATCTATCCATCTATCCACCTATCTATTCATCCATCTGTCCATCTGCTCATCTACCCACCCACCCACGTATCCGTCCATCCATTTATCCTACTCTAGCCTTTTCTCTGCCCTCCAGTTCATTCTTTCATCAATTTACCCATCCTGTACCCATTTTCAAGTCTTCTCACAAACCTTTATATGCCAAGGTTGCACCATCCAATTTCACCCCCAGCCTTCAGCCAGGCACCAGGGTTGTTCACAGAGCTCAGCCCTGCTGGGATCCATTCCAGATCCCCACCCTGTTCTGGCCTTCTGGACCTTCTCCTCTTAGGGCCGAAATCCTAGAGCAAAGCCCAGGCTGAGTGTGATTGCGTGTCCCTGAGGGGAAGAGGGTGAGGCTCCTGGCCCTTGTTTATCCAGGACCCTCATGGGAACACACCCCAGGAGATGAGGCCTCCAAGGCCAGCTGCACAGGACTTGAGGGTGCTTGACCTGACCTTCTGGTTTAGGAAACTAGTTTCCATCTGTGATCCTGCTGGTCCCTGCCCCATCCTCACCCCCACAGTCCAGTAGAACTTCCTAAGCACACTGCCAGGATCTGCTGGGAGATGTGAGTCCCAAGGTCAGAGGGTACAGTGAGTATATTCGTTAAGTGAAACTGCCCCTAATTAAGCCAGTAAAGGATATAGGGCCAGCCCAGAATCCTAGAGTATCAGATTGGGGATATTCTAGGCACTTGAGTTCGCCACCTCATATTACAGAGGACTAAGGTTCAGGGGGATTAGATGACATGCCCGAGGCCACTCAGCTCACAGGAGTCCCCAGCATTATGCAAACAGCTGTCCTCTGGCCTCCCACTGCTTGCCCAGGCAGTGTATGCCCCAGCTCCTGCGTCCCAGGCAGGGTGATGCCCCTCTCACTTTGCGTTGTGAAGAAAAGAACTAGCCCCCAGCCTCTCAGCATCCCTCCCAGCAGCCAGCTGTTTACAGTGTGCGCAGGTGGCCACAGAGAGGTGGGGATGTTAGCAGGTAACTCATTATAAACCAACCCCAGGCCTGGGTGGGGAGGCCTTTTGGCCAGGGATGACTCATCCTAGCAGAGGATTAAGAAAACCCAGCACATACCGATCGCCCTCAGTGCCAGGTGAGGTACTTGAACTACAATGAGGACAAGGGCTGGCCTTTCTACCTTCACAACTCGGTTATTTCTTCCTCTTCTCTGCCCTCGCTCTCTGAGTACTATGCTCCCTAGTAACAGAGAAGTCAAGGATAAGAAGTCACACTTTTTTGGCAACCCTGTGACTTTGACCAATTGATAGACCATTGCACCTCAGTTTCCCATCAGTAAAAGGGGCATCCAACAGCCTAGCTTGATTATCATAACCTAGGTAAAAGCCCTTCATTACAATAGGTAGTTAGTTCCTTCCTGGTATTTATTTATAACTTGGTGGACACTGTATGAAATGCATGCCAAATGGAGATTCCCAGCAAAATACCAGAGCTTAAGCCTGTAATGCCCAGGCATCTCAGGGAGCTGGCCAGCAATGTGGAGCCTCAGACCTCACCCATCCCAGAACACGGAGTTAAGCTCCACACGAGCACAGTCCCCAGATGATTCACACAAACATTATAGTTTGAGAAGTTCTGCCCTTCAGTAGGAGTCTACAAATTTTTCCTGCCAGAGGGCCAAATACTAAATATTTAAATCTTTGAGGACCAGATGGTGTCTGTCAGAGTCTCATGTGGGCCACTGTGGCTGAAGGCAAAAACAGCCATGGACATGTCACCCAGGCGCAAGCATGGCCACATTCCAGATAATACTATTTGTAAAGAGATGGAGGCTCTATTTAGCTCACAGGCCTCCCTGGGTGGACAGTGGTTTTCGGGCTGGAGAACCAGGCTCACTATGGGGGTCTGCTGAGCAAGAGCTCTCAGGCCCCTCCATCTGGTCTTCTGGGTGGCTCCGATTCAGAGGTGGCTCTTCTTAGCAGCAGTTTGTAGGTGACAGTGGTGTTGTCCTGGGACCCTGCTACTGTCTGCTAGATTTCTAAGGTTTGTTTTTCTCCAGAGGCCAAGAGGAAGGGGAAGAGCCCCCTGAAGCACATGGAGGTGTTCTGCTCCATCCCGTCCCGCTCGCTCCTCTCCCCTAGTTACTACCACAGCTTTGGACTCACCGAGAACTACATCGTGTTCCTAGAGCAGCCCTTCAAGCTAGACATTCTCAAAATGGCAACTGCATACATGCGGGGCGTGAGCTGGGCTTCCTGCATGACCTTCCACAGAGAGGACAAGGTGAGGCCTGGCTGGGCTGTCCACTCTACCACAGGAGCACAAGTGAGGGGAACTAGCCCCCAGAGGAAGCTTCCTAGGAGGAAGGAGGGAGCCAGCTACCATACATCTCCCTGGAGGCAGCCACCAACCTTCCAGAAAGTTCTAAAGCTGGGATGTCCTTTAGAGTGGTTCCAAGAAAGCTAGATCTTTTATGCCCCTCCAATTCCAATAAGTCATTGGATGCAGACTGTCCTGCAACAGGGTATGACCTTGGGCAACCAAGGTCCCCAAAACAGTCCTCACGCCCAGAAGTAAAGGGACCAAGTCCTCATTCTGAGGTATAGCTGGGCCCCTCACAGCCTCCACCATCCTTGACAAGTCCCCTTCAGAAGCCCACAGGGAGAGCAGGTAGAACCCACAGGGCAAGGCAGGCTGCCCCATGGAAGGCTCCAGAATGAGCCTGCCAGAGAACTTTCTGAAGAGTCTAAGTAACTGGTCCTAGTCTGGGGATCAGGAGGAAGGAAAGGTCTAAAGTAATCAGCCCTGTCTTCCCTTCCACATACTGACTCCCAGGCAGAGTGCAGGGCACTTCCTACTTGGTCATCGTCAATGGAAAGTGGGGCAGTGCACCTTTCCCCAAAGACTGCCAGGGAAGAGGGGACAGGCAGCACAGCATCCATCCTAAAGATGCCAATAAACACTCCTGCTCACCGAGCCCTTTTTCCTGCCTGGCACTTTGGGTGGACATACTGCTCAGACTAGGGAAGGGATGCCCCATGGTCACAAGCTAGTACCATGCAGGGCTGGGTGCTATCAGTCCCCACAGGCCACTGTGCCAGGCATAAGAGGGACAGCTGATCACCATCTTCTTTCAGACCTACATTCACATCATCGACCAGAGGACCAGAAAGCCAGTGCCCACCATGTTTTACACAGACCCCATGGTGGTATTTCACCATGTCAATGCCTATGAGAAGGACGGCTGCATTCTGTTTGATGTCATTGCCTATGAGGATAGCAGCCTCTACCAGCTCTTCTATTTGGCCAACCTGAACCAGGACTTTGAGGAGAACTCCAGGCTCACCTCAGTGCCCACCCTCAGGAGGTTTGCCATCCCCCTTCATGTGGACAAGGTAAGGCTCCACAGAGTGGGCAGTTTCTTTCTAGACAGACTCGAGCCCAGGTGGGACGGTACTTGGCATTTATTTGACTGATATTGAAACCCAAAATGCACTGGGTTTTTTTTGTTTTTATGGAGCTGAGGGTCAAACCCAGGGCCTCATGCATACTAGATGAGCGCTTTACCCAACCCTGAGCTGCTCTTTAAAAAAAATCAAAAAGACTTTTTCATTATTTTCCCAAAAAGTGATCTATATTATGTAGAAACTTTAGAAAATATAGGTAAGTAAAAAGGGGAGAAAAATCTAAATAAACCCACCACCCAACATGGTCACTGTGATTTTATCTGTACTGCCTCCCAGTGTCTGTCTGTCTGTTTCTCCCTAGATAGATAGATAGATAGATAGACAGACAATGTTACATCATTATTGAGGTATAGTTTATATGCCATAAAATTCACCCACTTAAAGAGTTTAATTCTGTGGCCTTTGATATAGTCACAGAGCTGTGCATCCATCACCAGTCAATTTTAGAACATCTTCATCCCTTCAAAGGAAATCTCATACCCCTTAGCCACCACTTCCTAGCAACCCACTCCCCCCACCCCAGCGAGCCCCTAATCTACTGTGTGTCTCAAAGGATTTGCCAGCCCCAGACACATTTATGTCAATGACCTTGGTCAGTGTACAGCCTATTGTGTGACTGGCTTCTTTCACTTAGAGCAGTCATCCACATCGTAACACATACCCGCACATTTCCTTTTATGAATATAATATGTAACATGTATTATAAATATGTAACTGTTATTTTGCATATTGTTTTTTGCACTTGTTTGTGTATCTGTTTTTGTTTTTACTTTGTTTTATCTTTTTAATGCTGGGACTAGGGCTTGAGCTCAGGGTTTCCTGCTTGCAAAGCTTGAGCCACACCTCCAATCCATTTTGCTCTGGATATTTTTGGAGATGGAGCCTCTCTTATGAACTATTTGCCTACGCTGGCTTTGAACCACTGTCCTCCTGATCTCAACCTCCCAAGTAGCTAGGATTGCAGGCATGAGCCACCGGTGCCCAGCGTGTTTGTATATCTGACCATTTCTCTATAATGTTAAATACTCCTTGATAACGTCACTTTAAATATTCACCTCATAGTCTTTGACGGTGATTTACCCCCATTTGCTCACTCAGTCCCCTGATTCAGACAGTCCGTTCTCACAGTGAACATGGCTGTCTGGTTATGTTAGCCTCAATTAGGGTGACTCTGTCAGGGCTCTGAGCATCAGGTAGGTACAGATAGGCTTCTGGCTCCAGCACTCACTGACTTCATGACTTAATTAATTTAAATGAAACTAAATTGAATTCAATTAAAAGTTGATGGTTCACATTTACTAAATGCCAAGTACTTTGCTATACGTTTTATTTTCCTTATGTCACTTAATGATCAAAATGACCTGTGGAAGAGGTCTCATATTAGCTTTATTTTATGTGAAAAAAAAAGAAAAAGAAAAAACTGAGGCTCAGAAAGGTGAAGGAATGCTCCTGAGATCACACAGCCCAGCCAAGATTGAAACCTGAACCAGTCTGTCTCCAAACATATACTTGAAACTGCTACAGGGTAGGAATTCTGCTCTTCTCCCTTATAGACCTAACTCCTGGAAAGATCCCCCAAATAGGCCACACTCGCTCCTGCAGGCCTGGGTAGCAGTCCTTTTGTAGCCAGGAAGCCTTTTCCCACACTCTCTGTCAGGATCCACAATGCAGGGGTTCAGCTGTACCTTGTTCAGGGAGTGGAGGAGTCAAGATTTGCCTTCAGGTTTGGCTGCTTCCAGAGCTCAGGTTTTCTCTACTCTCCAGCACTTCCCAGCTGTGGTCCTTGGCATCTCTCTGCCATGGTTTTTATCATATCTCAGGTCACATTGATGTAACGTCCATAAAATCAATTTTTCATTATAGTCAACTCACTCTCTATTAACTCATGTGAAAGGAAACATGTCACTAACCCCAGAAAGGCAGCACCGCTTGCTGTGAAGAAGAGACAAGCATGCCAATAAGACAGCAGAAGTCAAGCAGAGGCCTGCAGCTGCCACCGGGGCTGCTGCCAGCCAAGGCCTGGTCTCCGCAAAGGAAAGTTTTAGGGGCTGGGGTGCAGCTCAGTGGTAGGGGACAGTGCTTAGCATGCAAAGAAGGGAGCTAGGCTGTGGTAAAGCACTCCTATAGTCCCAGCACTCTGGAAGCTGAGGCAGGGGGATTGCGAGCTCCAGGCCAGCCTGGGCTACACAGAAAGTTCTAGGCCTGAGTTTCATAGCAAGAATTTATCTCAAAACAAAACAAAACAAACAAAAAACTGCAAAAAAGAAAGAAAGCAAGTTTTTTTTAAAAGAACTAGGTGTTAAAGGCTTTGGGGCACTTGAGACTGTGCTTGAGCCAGGCAGAAAGACATTGGCTCTGGCTCCCTCCCCACGCGGTCAGGACTGGCGAACACTGCACAGAGCCCATCCTCTGCAGCCTTCGCCCTGTGAGACACCGCAGTGCAGCGCTGTGGACGGTCTCCTGGTTCCCGGAAGAACGGGGGTGTCACAGAGCACACGGGGCATGAATCACAATGCCGACCTCAGCTGAGGGATGATGCAGCCAGAGGAACACGTCTCCTCCCGCTGCCCACACTCGGGGATTTTATAACCTTTCATCACGCTCAGGAAATGGTTTGCTTAGAAGGTGAGCGTGTATGTTTTTAAAAGTCACCGTGGAGCCACCTGCTGCTTTGAAATTAGCAAAGAAGAGCAAGCCCTGCAATGGGTAGCTCTGGCCACGCTGTTTAATTGCTGTTTATTGTCCCTTAAAGACGTCTTCTTTACTTTCAAGTCACTTAGCTGCTCACATATAAATTCACTCAGGTGGACGTAATGCATCTGACCAGATCCAGGGGCTCATGGTCCCTGCTACCAAAAGGTCTAGCAGAGAGGAGACCCTAGGGAGTGCAGTCCTTCTCAGATGCCCTTCTGGTTTGGGGCCTTTGCGCATTGCTGTCCCCTCTGTCTGCCACACTGACCTATCCTATGGCCCTTGTTACTTTCCCAGGCTTCACCAGCCCACGCCCAGGTCAATGTCAGCAGAACCTGGGGGGTGAGGGGAGAGAAGCTCAGCTCCCAGGGGTTCTAATGTGCACTAGGGCAGATAACCTCTGGGCCTATCAAGTTCATTTTCCTTCAGGGCTGTGTCATCACTTCCCTCGGGTGTGTGCAAATGCCATGGCACCCTGTAGCTTGACACTTATCTCCAGCATGACAGACTTGCTCAGCCCTCTCTTCCTGCTGAAGCCTGGGATCCAAGAAGGCTGGCCTCTGTCTGGAAGCAAGGTTCTTAAGCACTAGGAATGAATGAGTGCGTGATGAGTGAATGGAGGAAAACCTGCAGCAAGTTCTGGAAGAGGGCACAGGTCTCCCTTTAGCGTTTGGAACACGTCCCGAGTGAGCAATGCTTGCCACATAGAATGAGTGATGGGAGGTTGGAGTCCAAAGTTCAGAGCCTCACAACTGCCCTCCACTTCTGCATTTGGGCCAGTGGGGCTCAAAGGAAGGCAGGGCAGCAGGACCTTTGGCACCCTGGCAGTTTATGTAGGGCAGTGCGGGCGTCTAAGTTAGGGCTTGGCAGGGAGGGACGTGGGCATGTACAGACAGACAGACAGCAGGGATGGCTGCCCTGCCTTCTTCCTGATGGGTGCCATGGGCTGCCTTGGAGGTGGGTTCCTAAGTGTTTGCCATCTATATGTAACAGGCCACCATGGGAGGAGACACACTGGACCCAGAAGTCGTGGCTGTATTTTCTGGGTTAGAAGACATGGGTTTTGACTCCAAATGCAAAAATAAAGACCTGATAAGAAGAAAAGCTGGACAGCGTGCCATGACCCAGGCCCTGTGTTAAATGCTTTTCCCCTCTGAGACTGTGGCAGGAGGGGTCCCTGCTCCAGGGCTGTCAGTTCAGAGGCCCTGATCTGGCTTTTCTGTCTCCGGCATAGCCCCTTCTCCATGTGGTGAGGAGCTCACGGGACCACAGGGTCCTATCTACCAAGAAGGGTGTCTCCCCACCCATGTGCTACACACCTGGGATCCCAAACCTGCTCAGTCTGCCTCTGTCCCCCTAAGAGCAGACTGTGCCACTAGTATGCCTGTAAGGTGGCCAGGGCACCTCAGCACACTTCCCAGCTAGGGATGGAGGGTGACATGAGAAAGGAAAGAGACCAGGGGCAGCTCACTCTCACTGTGCCACCTCCTCTGTCTCAGGACCCCAAGGGTCCTAGACTTCTTAATTCACACTCCTCCTTCTAGACCTGCCTGTGCAATAGATCCCACTGTGTTGCTGGAATGTTCTCCCTGTCCATTCCAGAGGCAACTGTTTGTGAACCACGAGTGCTGTGGAGCACTCAAGACATGACTGGTGCAGCCAAGGCATGGAATTTTTACTTCACTTTACTTTAAATTTAAGTAGCCACACATGGCTGGTGGCTGCCTATTGGACAATGGTGTAGTTCCACGACATGGGGGAGGAGGGAATGTGTACAGGTGGGAGGGAGACAGTGCTGCACTTAATTTCCTTGCCAAATTTGGACAAGGGGTCTAAGGGCCTCCACTTGTACTTTCTTCCTGGATCCTACAAATTGTAGGAATTGTTAAGTGCTTTGCTAACTCACATCACAATTTTTTTTTTATGGTACTAGGGTTTAAAGTCAGGGCCTTGCATTTCACTCTACCACTTGCGCAATGACCCCTGCCCTTCTTTTGCTTTATTTTTCAGATAGGGTCTCATGCTTTTGCCCAGCCTCAGATCATGGTCCTCCTACCTATGCTTCCCATCCTTGTAGCTGGAATGACAAGTGTACCACCTCTCCTAGCTTATTGAGTGAGATGGGATGTCACTAAATTTTTGCCTGACATGATCCACCTGATCTCTCAAGTAGCTGGGATTACAGGTTTGAGCTCCCACACCTGAGTTATTTCTTACCCCCATGTCTGCAGATGAGAGAGAAAGAAGCTTGCCCGACATTAAAGAATTACCCAAGGGATTTGTGTCAGGATTTGAATGCATGGCTTTCTGGCCCAAGTTACTAACTTCAGTGTGTCTGGGCCTTGGCCCAGACCAGGCCAAAGCAACTTTGCTGTACAAAACACCGCCACCTTACATACAGGGGCAGACGCAGTGAGGTTGAGGGTCTGCTAAATTGTGAAGCCACATATCACACTGAAGTTGGTGCTTGAGGCAATGTCTGAGCTCACTGCCTCCCACAGCAGTCCCTCAGGGGCTGGGATTTCAAGGCAAGCCTGTAGGATTTTGCCAAAGTCTAGTTGCGAAGTGATTTCTTTCCAAAGCTGAGCGTGTTGGCTGCTGGAAGCAGCCGAGTCATGTTTGTTACTGCTGTGTGTGGAAAAATTCAGTTTATCCCTCAACCAGTCTGACCAGTTTTCAGGCTGAAGTTAGAAGGTGGCTTTGCAGACCAACTCCCTGAGAATCAGGGCTGGGACATGCCCAGAAGCCTGTTGCTGTCATGTGCCCAGCAAGGCACCAGGCAGGGCTTCCTATTGCCATGCAGTGCTATGCAGGTGGACCACTGAGAGTCTCTGTTTATAAGGCACCATGACGTGCCGGGCTGCTTTGTCCACCCACTTCATCTTGTTGAATTCTCACAGCTGGACTGCAAAGTGTGTGCTTTGATCGTTGAAGGAAAAGCTTATTGAGTTGTGCATTCAGTTCCTAGTGCTGTGTGCCAAGCAATGAATAAAATCTGGTCCCTGCCTTCATGGAGAAGACGAGCATAAAGAAGGACACAGCTCGGCCTGGCGTGGTGATCCATGCCTGTCTGTAATCCCAGCTACTTGGGAGGAGGAGATAAAAGGATCATGGTTTGAGGCCAATCCAGGCAGAAGTTAGTGAGACCCTACCTCAAAGAACAAGCTGGGCATGGTGGGTGCACCTGTGATCCCGGCACATGGGAAGCTTAGGTAGGAGGATTGTGGTAAGAGGCTTGCCTGGGCGAAAGCACAAGACCCTACCTGAAAAATAACTAAAGCAAAAAGGGCTGGGGGGCCTAGGAAGCTTGAGGCCCTAAGTTCAAACCCCACTATCACCAAAGGAAGGAAGAAAGGAAGGAAGGAAGGAAGGAAACAGCTCCATAAAGGAGATAATTACAAATGCCTTGGAAGCACTGCAGCTTCAGGTGGAGTCGTTAGGGAAGGGGATGTTTGAGCTGAGACCTATATATGGCAACAGGCCAGCCTCAGAGCCTTGCTTTGCCCTCTGCCCACAATGCTCTTGCTTTTGGGGAGAAGAATTGCAACACAAAACCCTGGGCCTAGGAGCTACTTCTCTCTGTGTGACTTTGGAAGAATCACTCTGCTTCTCTGGGCCTCAGTTTCCTCTTCTATAAATAGAGGGATTAATTAGACAAACCTCTGAGGATCCTTGCAGTTCAATCAGCAGGATACAGTAAAGTTCCCTTCCACCTATTAACAACAACAAACAAAAAAGCTGTTATCATTAAAAGAGGTAGGTTTTCATTATCAAAGCCACTTTGGAAAATGTGGTACATAGAAAAAAGTTTAAATGAGAAGTTGACCAGAATAATGACAATGCAGTAGTGTCCTTATCCACAGTTTTCCTTTCCACAGTTTCAGTTATCCACAGTCGTGTTCCAAAACTGTTAAATGAAAACCCCCAAAATTTTAAATTGCATGCTGTTCTGAGTAGAATTATGAAATCTGGAGCCATTTAGCCCTGTCCCTTGCCCGGTGTATCCAGGCTGTATATGCTACCTTCCCCTTAGTCATTTCATAGCCATATCTTGTTATCAAATCAACCTTTGTGACATGGCCATGTTTATATATAGGATTCAGCACTCCCTGCAGTTTGGGGCATCACCCGGGGTCTTGGAATGTATCCCCTGCACGTAAGGTGGGATACAGTCACAACATATCTAGCACGGACTGGCAACGAGGTACTCTTGTATCCCATTTAATCTGCACAGTGATCTCATTTGATCTTCACATTAACCTGAGGATGCATGTGCTCTCATTACCCATCACCCTCATTCTACACACAGGAAACTGAACTGTGGACAGGCTAGATAACTCGCTCAAAGTCCCATGATTCGTGTGTGGGAGAAACAAGGAACAGTAAGTGTTCAATAAATATGCAATCGTGTTAATCCTGCTCAGTGTGAAAATGATGACAGCAAGGAACTGAACAGAGCAAAATCTGGTCATAACTTGAGACCAAAATATGTCCTTGAAAGATGTGTTTCTCCCAAATATTTATATCTCATGTTTGTTTGCATTTCAGCAGTCGTACATTTTCATAGAAGAAAAAAAAAAGAGAAGGAAATGAAAGTCCCCTTCATTCATCACCTCTTTCTTGTTAATATCTGCCATATTTCTCCCAGTCTTTTTTTTTTTTGATGTAATTTTGTGTATGTGCTCAGATTACTTAGGAAATTTACCCCATGCTTTTACTCGGTGTTACATCACAAGCATTTCCCATGTTATAAACACTCTTCAAGTGGCTGGTGCAGCCTTTTACAGGTGAATCATCCAGTGTTTAAAAAGTGAGAAGTCCCTCTCCTAAGCACATTCATTTTCCCTGGGAGGGAGAAAGCAACTCAGAGTAAAGAGCTCAGGTTTCTATGTCCCTGGCTCTACCACCCACCATCTATGTGACCTTGGAGAGTCACTTCAAATTGCCAGTCCTCGTTTTTTTTTTAAACCTAGAATAAGAATAACGACAATAAAATAGCTGCTTCCTGTATCTAATGGAAGACCAAGCAAGATGATGTATGCTAAAGCACTTTTTAAATGCACACAGCAAAGCAAAGGTTTGCTCTGAGTAACAGTTTCCTTTTTTTTTTATTTTTTAACTGATTCTTTTCAGAATGCAGAAGTGGGCTCAAATTTAATCAAAGTGGCTTCGACAAGAGCAACAGCCCTGAAGGAGAAAGACGACCAGGTCTATTGCCAGCCTGAATTGCTCTGTGAAGGTACAGTGCACAGTGTATCCTCTCTCCCGACATCTAGGGTCATGGAGATTTTCAAGGAGACCCCAAGGCCTCTTTCTATAATACTTCCTGCTAATGCACAAACAGGCAACCAAGAGAAAAGGCTGTTGGAACACCCAGCAAAAAGCATTTGGGGCCCTGTCTCTTTCAGGTAGCTTCCAACATCTCTGGTCCTTGGGCAGGATGACGTTCATAGTTTCTGTCTGCTAATGGCTGTGACTTATTGAGCAAGTGTGGCAGGTTCCTATTTCTATCTCTACAACATCCCAATCCCTGCAAAATGGCCCCATTTTACAGAGGATAAAGACTGGGCCTGAGAGACATTGAGCTACACACAAACCCTCAGGACAGTAATCACACCCAGAGAGTGACTTCTCAGCCTGGGTCCTGCTGACATTTGGGGCCATGTAGTTCTCTGTGCTGGGGGTCATCGGGGCATTTCATTGTAGGGTGTTCAGCACCATCCCTGGCCTCCACCCTCCAGATGCAGCAAAAATGTTCCTAGGCATTGCATCATTCCACAGGGACCATGTTTCCAGGCTCAGTATATCAGCAGCATGTGACGTAATGTGAAAATAGCATAATGAAACCCACTCAAATTGCTTTTAAAAAGGGGGGGGGTGGGGTAAGAAAGAGTAGCAGAAGAGGTGGCTATGATCAAGCATCACATGCATGTATGGAACGATCACAATGAAACCCCTTTGTACAAGAACTATACACTAACAAAAACAATAAAGTCTGGCATAGAGAGGTCTTAAAAGAGCAGAGTGAGCCGGGAGTGGTGGCACATGCCTGTAATGCCAGCACTCAGGAGGCTAGAGCAGGAGGACTGTAAGTTCCAGGTCAGCCTGGGCTATGTAGTGAGACCTTATCTCAAACAACAACAAAGAGGTGCAGCGCAGAGTGAGTGGGGTTGTCTTAGCACACTCCACTAGAGTGGCCATGTGTGGGCTGTTTTGTTTTGTTTTGTTTTATTTTGAGGCAGGATCCCACTAGGTTGCCCAGGCTGACCTTGAACTTGTGGGCTCAAGTGGTCCTTCTGCCTCTCAAATGTGATGGGAAACTTTGTTTGGCCTTTGTGGTGCTGGGGATTGAATCCAGGGTCATATATGTGCTAGGTGAACACTCTTCTACTTGCCAGTGAGGCTGGTGAGAAACCAAGAGCTCTGCTTGTTGGCTGTCCCATGCCAAGCTCAGAGGTCCAGAAGGACTCACAATTCAGGGGACTCTCCTAGGACAACCTTGAATTTGCCTGTGAAGAATCTACTTCTGTTAGTGGATCCTATATCCAGTTCTGTGGGACACTCAGCCTCTGGGAGCCTTAGAAATAAGTACACAGACCTCAGTACCAGGCCTACCTTGGGTTTAACCAGGGTCTTCTCCTTTTCCTCCTCCTCCTTCTTTTTTTTGGGGGTGGGTGGGGGCTGGCAGTTGTTGTGTGTGGTGCTGGAAATCAAACCAAGGGCCTCACTCCTGGCTAGGCAAGCAAGCACTCTGCTACTGAGCTACACCCCCAACCCAATTCATTTTTTTTTTGCTTGATTGTTGTTTTGTTGTGGTGCTAGGGATTGAACCCAGGGCCTTGCACATGTTAGGCAAGTGCTCTACCACTGAGCTTTCATCCCCAGCCTGTATCATCTTCTTGAAGTGTGTGAGTGGTCTGCCTCCTCGTGTTCATCTTGACCTGGCCCTTGGAAACTTCACGATTACTCCACTGTAGGATTGTGCATCTCCTTCCCATCCCAGTGGTCCATTCCCTTCATTGCCCGCTGAGCCTGATAACCACTTATGCCTTGGGGTCCATCTCTGCTTTTTCTTTTCTCGGACATTGTATCTTTGCTAGCAGTTGGCTTTCGGCTACCTGGAATATGTCATGAGAGGAGTACTTTGATTTCAGTACTCAGGCTTAGAAATCCAATTGGACACAAGAGGCATATATAAATATGTACATTTGTACGGGGAAAATGCAAGCTCTTTTGTAAAGAAAAGTAACAGGCATTATTGCTTCTTCATCTTCTGGCTAAGAGTAAGTGAAAGCAATAGGCTTACTGAGAGTTTCACATAATGAGAAACCTAGACTACAGTATAAAAAGTAACTATATGGCAGTCTAAGCCTGTCAGTGCTCCTAAGCTTTTTTCTTCATTTGTAACAATATGGATAATTCCACAGACAGCCTTTTACACTTTACTTTATGATATGGACACTTGCCTAGGTTATTAAAATTATTTGTAAGCATTATTTTTACATACAATATTTAGAATTTACCAGATTCATTTAACTCCTCCCTGTGGCTTCCAACATTTCTCTTCACACTCCCCACATGTGTGCACGAGTGCACACAAACACACACACACACATGCACTTTTTAAAAAGAGCTTTAAAAAATTACAGTAGCCTCTGATTTTAATCATGCAATGTTCTTTGATTTTTATCTTGGATAATTACAGATAAATACACTTAAAAACCCAGATCTATGGCACTTTGCTTCTGAACCTTATAATAGAGCCAAGGTCATTAGCAGAGGCTCCCTCCTTGCCTTTGACCATCTTTGATCCAATCTGGGTCTGAATTGAGTCAGGGATCCTCCTTGGAATGTTTCCATGGAATGGAGGCCTAGTCTGGCATGAGGGCAGATGCTTCCAGCCCCGGTGATGGGGCTTCATCATCTCATTTCTTTCCAGGGTTAGAGCTCCCTCGGATCAATTATGCTAACAATGGCAAGCCATACCGATACATCTATGCTGCCGGAGTTCAGTGGAGTCCAATCCCAACCAAGGTACAGATCCCTGTTCTTGTGGGCTATATTTCTCTGCAATGATCTTGTCAGTCTACAAAGGTGACTTCTCAAGTTTTGAGACTGGTTACCTCCATCAGAAAAGAGGGGGTAAGGAGAGAGGTCAGTTTGGGATAAAATAAATCTGATGCAATTCTGGACCACCCAAGAGAGGGAACTGTGCCTACTGGACTGATGCGGAGGGAGAGGTCACGATTGGGGCTCATGCACCAATTTCTTTACTCAGTACTATTCACTGAGCGCCACCTGTGCACTACACTGATTAGGCACTAAGGGATCAGGAAGTTTGCAGGGGGTTCCCAGTTCCTGCCCTCAAGAAAGTAACTCACTTTCTATGGCAGAGAAACTGTCGCTGGAGCCTAGGGATTGATTTTGTCTTTTTAGCTGCTGTTAGTACTTTCTGTGTGCTGGCACTGTGCAAAGTGCTTCATAGATATCGCTTTTCCTTAACATCTTCATTTTTAAAATGCCAGCAGTGCAGAAGTATACAAAGACAAAAATTACAATTTCCACCCACACATACACACACCCCAAGCCACTCCCCACTAATCCTACACCTACAGGGAAAGGCTCATGAGAGCTTAAGGGAGGCCCAAGGACTTTCACTTTTTTGGGGAGAGGGTGTGCTAGGGATCAAACCAGGACCTCATGCACGGTGGCAAGCGCTCTACCACTGAGCGACATCCCCAGCGCAGGACTTTCACTTAAAGCAGCAAAGGAATTATACTTTTAACATCTGGCATTATATACATAAGTTGTTTAACATAAAATATGACAACGTAGTGCCAAATACCAGCGGAATTCAGGATTTTTCTGGGAGCTCATGGTGAAGTGACCAGAGCATCAGTGTTTAAAGTGGAAGGAAAAAGTTCCCTTCTTTCCTTTATATGGTTGCATGGACCAGAGGCCATGCCATTTGGAGGTGATATCAAAAGACTAAGTTTGAGGGCTTTTTCTCCCCTTCATGGACCTTTGTGCCTTGAATAAGTGATTCCCATGTTTCTCCTCTTTGCGAGCACAGATACTGAAATACGACCTTCTCACAAAGTCCTCCTTAAAATGGGGTGAGGAGAGCTGCTGGCCAGCAGAGCCCCTGTTTGTGCCCGCACCAGACGCCCAGGATGAGGATGACGGTAAGACTCAGGAGGAGGACCCACTCACTGCACCTGCTCCTGATCACCCCTCAAACAGATACATCATTTGGGGGCATCACAAAGCTGGGGGAGGCCTGCCTTTACGTCTAGGTCTGCCAGAATCAAAGCTTCCATGTTAGGAACTTCCCAAGACTACTCTCACTTCTGACAGCAATTGCAAGTGCAAGGCCCTCCCAAGACCTCAATTCTACTGTTCACTAGTCACACTCACAGAACTCATTATTCTTAAAGTTATGGTTTATTACAGTGAAAGGATACAGACTAAAATAAACAAAAGGAAGGGACACACAGGACAGGGTCCAGGAGAGACAAGGCAGAGAGTTTCCTGCCATCCTCTCCCAGTGGAGTCATAGGAAGTGCTAACTTCTCCTACAATGATGTGTGACAATACATACCATGCAGGCTCACCTGAATCTCAGTATCCAGAGATTTTACTGGGGCTCAATCATGTGGATGTGGTTGATCTCCTGTGTGGCCAACCTTTAGTCTTCAGCCCCTCAGAGACTGAGCTGATACCCTGTGGCCCAACACCCACCATAAACCACATTGTGAGGACAGACTACCTGGGATGGCCCAAGGCATCCAGGTAGACCAAAGACATTATTAGGCAGGACATTACAAGGACTTACAGGTGTCCTCTCAGGGACAAAATCCACCTCTGTCTTTGGGCAAGGTTAAATTCTTTACTGCACAAAGCCCCTTTTTTTTTAGTGTCACTCCTTTCCACTGAGTGACACTAGACTCTCCCAGAAGGTAGAATCTAGGTTTTTTTTACAGTCCATTGCAATGACTGGATCCAAATGTCTAACTGTCGTTCTTATAAACATGGAAATTTTTCATGGAACACTTGGAAAGTGTTCTATGTTTCCACATGATCAAACTGTCCTTTTCCTCCATGATTCTGCCCTGCCTAGAGCTCTGGGGATGTTAAAGAGGGTAACAAGAGCCATGGGTGGGGACATCACCTGGCCAAGCTGGTGACAGGGCTGTCCACACCTACAGGGGAGGGCGGGCTGCCCCACTGAGCCTGCCAGCTTCTTCCCTCTGGTGGGAGGGAGTGGTTTTCCACCTAGCCTTGTCTTCCTACCAATCATGGCCTGGCATGCTGCCTGGGGACCCTGTGTCACCATCATCTTTGAGGCGGGGGCCTGGTGGCATGCACTCCTGCTGAGGCTGGTCTCCTGCTAGGCTGGACACGTGCTTCCCATACGTTCTCACGGTGGGTGGGGAGTGTCCTCATTTTACCAAGGGGAGGCTCAGAGTGAGATAACGTGCCTAAGGTCACACGCCCTACATGTACAGAGGTCGGATTTGAAATTCAGGCCTATCTGACTTCACCTATGTCCAAGCTCTGAATCTCTAGTACTTGCAAATGCTCCCTCCTCACTATAAGTTTGTATATTATTACATGTTAGCCCTCTATCTGTCCCTCAAGAGTGAGAATTGAGAACTGACAGCATTTCCATTTTGCAGAGGGAAAGCTAGGGCTACCAGTGTTGCTGCATGTGCAAGAAGTGAATTGGGCTCACTCAAATGCTATATGCAACAAGTCTGAGTTTAGCTAAGTGACACATATTAGCTGAAGGTCATTTAGAGTTTTTAAGTAATAGGGAAATAGCTAGCCATTTCTCATACATCTGACAATTAACAAAATCCTTACAAAATCCATCCTGCACATCCTCTTCACTGCACAAGGACTGTTCCAGAGAGGGCTAGAACCAGGTCTTATGATTCCCAGTTTCCAGGCATTCCTTCTGCTCACAGAAAATATCATACCCTCTCACTCCTGTTTGGATTGGATACCTGTGTTCAAGTGGGACAGGTGGACACTGCTGAGAAATTAATTTTCCAGCGGTACTTTTACAGAGGGTCTCTTTTTAGGGCTAGGGGTGCAGTTCAGGCGTAGAGTACTTGCTTAGTATACACGGGGCCCTGGCTTCCATCCTCAGCACCATGAAAGAGAAAAGGAAAGCAGGCTGGGGTTGTAGCTCAGTGGCAGAGTGCTTGCCTAGCATGTGCAAGGCTCTGGGTTCTATCCCCAGCACAAGAAGGAAGGAAGGGGGGCAGGGAAGGAGAGAAGGAGGGGGAAGAGAGAGAGTGAGGGAAGAGAGGAAAGGAAAAGAAGAAAGGAAGGAGGGAAGGGAAGGGAAGGGAACAGAAGGGAAGGGCAAGAAATGTGTTTCTTTTTGTTTCCCCAAAGGAATTATCTTATCAGCCATTGTCTCCACCAATCCCCAAAAACCACCTTTTCTGCTTATTCTGGATGCCAAAAGTTTTACGGAATTGGCTCGTGCCTCCATTGCTGTGGACATGCACTTGGACCTCCATGGGTTATTCATCCCGAATGCAGACTGGGATACAAGGAATCAGGATTCAGACCACCATGCGGTCCCCCAGGCCTGAGGTGCCAGGCTTGAACCCTGGGGAGAATAGCTTCACTGGTCGGAACCTCGAGCCTCCAAGCCTGCCGCCTCTCTCAGGGTGGAGGGGTTGCATTTCACTTTGCATCTATTCTCCTTGCAGATACTGGGATAAGCCCACAGAGGGAAGGCTTGGTGGCATCTCTTCTTTCATTTCATTTTAGTTATAGAAACTTTGTATGAAAGTCAACTATTTATTGGATAATTTTAGCACTTCTAAGAAAGTCCCTTTCCTTTATTAAAAAGACCTTGACCATGAGTCAGAAATTGTATTAAATCCCATTATCATTGTTCTTAGAATTAGCAACCACAGACATGTCAGAGAAAAGGCATACATATTTATCATTGCTCCTTCTTCCACCTCTTTCCTCCTCTCCCTCCCTCCACTCTAATGGGCTAAATGGTGGGTGTGGAGTTCTGGCTTTCTCAGTCATGCCCTGTTAGTGAGTTATGTGGCCAGGAAGGCTGCTTTGTGGTCATTTCATGCAAGACATGGCATAATATAAAAGAATAAAAACTTTAAAGTCTGTTCAGACCTTATTTCAGTTTTACATGCCTTCCTCCTCTGAAGTTCTTCTAAGGCAATAAAATAGAGTTGCAGAACTTGCTGGTTCCGTAGCCAGCAAGGTGCTTGAGTACAATCAGTGGGACAAACAGATCGGTGTGGGGCTCCGCTCTGTAGGACGTAGGCAAGAGTTCTTGTGTGCCCCTGAGACCTACAGCAGTGAGTCACATCTGTATGTAACGGCCAGGGCAACTCTCCGAGCTGAGTGTACTGCCAGACAGAGTGGAAGGAGATTGCAGGTCCCCAAGCAAGGTGACAATGTCACGGAGGAGACTGGGAAGAAGCCAAGTGAGGTTCCACTTGATTACTGGTGCCACCATGGGCGTCTGAGTCTCACCTTGATAGTCTAGTGGGTACCTGGAGCATAAGCGAAATAAGCAAAGGTGATGGGTGATTCCCAGTACCCACGTGGTAGGGCCTCATTCCTGTTCACCTGCCCCTTCCTGAGCCTGAACTCCATTCAGTCACCAGTGGAGATTCAGTGACATGTTACAAAGATGGGAAGTACAGACAGGGAACCCCGCCCCCAGTGGGGGCAGACCTGTCCAGGATGACCTTGCAACCTCCACAAAACTGCACTTGGCTTCCACTAAAATGTAAGCTCTATTAGTCCAGGGAGTTAGCTGTTGTCTTCTTGATTAAATTCTTATTAAGATAATTGTACATGCACATGCAGTTCTAAGAAATATTACAGGAAGATCGCAGGGCAGTTTTACACAGTTTTCCCCAGTCTTAACACTTTGTAAAACTATAGCGTACTTCACAACCATGTGTTGACATTGATACCATCCACCAATCTTATTCAGATTTCCCTTATTTTACCTGTACTCATTGTGTGTGTGTGTGTGTGTGTGTGTGTGTGTGTGTTCTAAACAGTGTTATCACCTTTATCAGATTAATAGGTTTCTGGATTCACTGCCACAGTCAAGATAATGGGGCCTGTGCTGGACACCGTGGCTCATGCCTATAATCCCAAGAATTCCAGAGGTGGAGGTTGGGAGGATCTCAGTGAGAGGCCAACTCAGGCAAAAATTTAGCGAGACCCTCTTTCAACCAATAAGCTGGGCGTGGTGAGTGATGTCTGTAATCTTAGCTATGCGGGAGGCCATAAGTAGGAGGATTATGGTCTAGGCAGGTCCAGGCAAAAATTTAAGACCCTATCTGAAAAATAACTAAAGCAAAAAAGGGCTGGGGGCGTGGCTCAAGTGGTAGAGGACTCACCTAGCCTGAGTTCAAACTCCAGAGCTGCCAAAAATAAACAAAAAGATACTGGATCCCTCAAGTTACTTCCTTATGACTGGTCATTTCTGCTTCCCTCTAAGCCTCTCTCATCCCTAACCCTGGCAATGGCCATTGGTAAAAAAGGTCATTTCAGGACTGGTGTCAGTGTCTCACACCTGTAATCCCAGCTACTTAGGAGGCTGAGATTGGGAGAATTGCTGTTCAAAGCCAGTCCTGGGCAAATAGTTTACAAAGTCCTATCTCAAAAATGCCCAATATAAAACAATGCTGGCAGAGTACCTCAAGTGGTAGATAGAGTACCTGGTTAGCAAGTGTGAGGCTCTGAGTTCAAACCCCAGTACCACAAAAAAAATGTCATTTCAGAAATATTACAAAAATAGAATTACACTGTAACCTTTGCAGATTTTGCCAGTTGTGTGTATTCATTCCAGTTGTTACTTGTTGGGAGTTATACTTGTTGTGTTATCCTGGCACCTGTAACACTGCCTCATATAATGCAGATACTCAGTAAATATTTGCTGAATGGAGACAGATGAATGAGCTCCGCTCACTCATTCAGATTCCATTCCTCAGTGCCCCAAGAAGAAATGGACACTTTACTGGAAACTTCCTGGAATCTGGAGAAGACAGACACATGGAACCCTGTGAAACAAAACTCTCCACTAAGTTTCCTGTCACCTTCTGTCACCGATCTCTTCTCGCTCTTCCCCTGCTGGTCCCACAAACCCCTTCTGTCTTCCTTGGCATCTCAGTTTATAATCAACAATAACACACACCATGGAAGTGGCAGAATAAAACTCATTTCCCCTTCCTCAGCGTCTGCTGTGGGAATCTTAGGACCTCCAGCCTTGATAAGCTCGATTAGAGAAAATGTCAACTGTCATGTTCTAGAAAAACATGATCGAGACTTGCATTTGGGTGGCTGGAATGGAAAAGAGTTGACAAATGTGGAGGCTGATCACCCACTCATCCTTCTACTTTAAATATTTGAGGGGAGGGTAGAATTTCAGGGTGCCTCCCCACCTTCATTCTGTGCATTTCTAATTGCCAAACAGTACCCAGACCTAATCATGAAAAAAGGGTGCAGTTCTACAGGGAAGAAAACTATGCCTGTGGTTTGTTTACCTTATTTACCATGACAGGTGGAATGCCAGACTGATGAGAGAGCCTGGCATACCAAGTCTTGTTTTCTCAGTTCCAAAAACAGAAAGACGATGATAGACTATTCGATTTGTCTGCCTTCTCTATTCCATTACACATACACAGGCCAGGGTACTTAGCTCAAAGCTCTGTGAGAGTTACAAAGCATGCTCCTTTCTCAACAAACCATAAGGCAGTCCATCTTCTCCTCCAAGCCTTCTTGTTATGCTATGGGTGGATGTAGACTATGACCGGGAAGTTCTGTAGGAAAAGCCATTCTGGGTTTGTTGATTGCTTTGATTGAGCCATGGCAGTTACTGAGTTTTCAAAGACCTAAGTGTCAAGTGCATAGCAGGCCCTCAAACATTTGCTGAGCCCCTAACCATTTCCACCAAAGGTTTCTGTAATATGATTCCAGTTCAGGAACAAGCTGGATATATGCTTGGGCAAATCAACTCATGAAAAATCTGAATATATTTATGCTACATCTATAGAATTTGTCCACATTCATTTTCTCAGGACCAAAGTTACTGGCATTGGGCTCATTCCTTTAAAAAGGCTACTGGTCCAGGTTAAGTCAAAACACCTTGGATCCTTTCTAAAGCTGTTTAAAGATTGTTTGGGTAGTTTTTAAATGATCAGATGTTTTTCCTGTTGCAAATCAGGACATGCAGACTGAAAAGCCATCACCCTCCTCCTCATCATCCAACAGTGATGAGATATAGAGCCTCAATTCTTCAGCTCCCCTCTGGAAGTTTAGACTCAAGAGGTCATGTACAGAATCAGGGTCACAGCAAGGAAGCAAAGTGTCCTTTGAGGTTGAGCCCCAGCAGGGAAGCAGGGCATTTTCTTGGACACAAGGAGAGATGTGGGAGCACTATGTCCTGCAGGCTGGGGATGACCAAGGCTTCCTTCTTCCTGGTAATTAGAACAGGCTTTCTGGAGGGGTGAGGCATCTGGAGCTGCCTGATTGGCTGGAGGGAGCACCTGCAAGGGGTTGCTTATTTGCAGGTGAAGGTGAAGTTCAGAACAAGGACTGGAGGTGGATGTGGGTTGACTGAACAAAGCAGGTGTGGAGTGAATTTCCTAAGAAAGAGCTATGGAAAGAGTGGGAGATGTAGGAGCTTTTTGCTCTCTGATTATAAACCATGTTCACTGCAGAGCACCCAACTAAGTTAAAGATATGAGAAAGACACAGTCCTACCACCCAGGGAAAGCCACTGGTATCATCTGATGTGTTTTTCTACCATTTTTTGTGCACATAGTCTACATATTAGTGATCAGTTTATAAACGACGCACCAGTTTATAACCCACCGTTTTTTCACTGAACATAGGATACAAGCATTTTCCCAGGTCAGTAAATTCTTTTAATGGTACATAGTATTCCGTTTGGAGCATGGCAGGATGTATACTGTCCTACTGTTGGACATTTGTTTCCAATTTTTGACTATTATAAATAATGCCCTGATGAGTCACTTTGTGCATGAAATTCTAGAGTTCATCCCCTATGCAAGTGATTATTTTCTTTGGCTAGATTCCCAACTTGAGATTTCTAAGCTAAAGAGTAGAAGAACAAGGTTTGGGGTATTTTATTGAAAGGCCATAGGTTTTGGCTTGATGCATGGGACTGAAACTGAGGAGGCATTCTTGGATGTTAGAGGCTCAGATGGTCAAAATGGCTGTAGGGCTGACAAAACATGTCTCAGGAAACAGAAAAAAATGGGTATGTGGTAATATAACTTTAGGCCAAATCTTCCTTCTTCTGTTTCCCTTTTCTTGTCCTCATAGCCTTTTATTCCCTACAGCTATGTGTTCTTTTTCAGGCTTACATTCACACTTTCTTTCATGTAGAGAGAACTAAGGGTATGCTGGGGAAAAAAAATAACCCAGTATCTCCACTGTCCTCAGGGCACCCTATAACAAAGTGAACAGGCTACACAATATGTGGAAGGGTAGGGAGGGAGCACTCCAGAGGCGCCCTGTGCTGCCTGGAGAGTCAACCAGTAGGGAGGGATGGTAGCAGGTGGCTAGGTGA